ACCCTCTCTGCTCGAATCCTGCCACTGTCCCTGCACTTCCCTGGGCCTGGCTCCATTCTGTCCAGCACGTTTCACCTGAAATATGACGTAATTGTGTGTGTGTGTTGGAAGGTGTTCCCTCCCTGGAATGTCACTCTCTCGCCGCGGTACCCAGGGGCACTCAGCGTGGAATGAACGTGTGAGCAGGAGGTGGGTGCTGCACTGAAGGCTGAGCAGGGTGCTATAAGGGCGAGTGGCCAGCGGGGTGGCCAGCGGGACTGGGTCGTCTAAGAAGGTGACATCTAAACTAGCAGCTGAAAGCCAGAAAGGGACCAGATGTGGCGAGAGGGGAAGGGCATTCTGCACGCAGGGGACGTCGCTGTGCGGAGTGGGTGACACGGGAGGGCAGGAGGCTAGGTGAGCAGTGGGATCTCATCCTGAACACTGTGCCAGCCACTGCCCATTAGGCCAGGTGGGACCCACATCAGTAGGCCCCCCAAGGTCCCTTCTCCCCGATCCAGCCCCCAGTTCTAATTTGCAGCTTCTGCTATGCTGTGGACTTTATAATCCATCCATGTGTTAAAAATGAGAAAATAAATACATAGATAGACAAACAGAATGATGGTCTCGGCAATGAAAACAGAACACAAAACCCAGTGCGTTTTGTTTTTTTGTTTTGGCCGCACTGCACGGTACCTTATTTCCCCGACCAGGGATCGAACCCACGACCCCTACATTGGAAGCACTGAGTCAACCACTGGACCACCAGGGAAGTCCTGCAGTGCGGTTCTGACTGAGAGGTGTAGCCAGCTAAGCAGAGCCAGAGCCTGACCTCGGTTCTACTTTTTCCTGAGGTTTCTCACTGCTGCTTCTGGCTGCTGGCCGCTCCTACAGTGACCCCTATCATGGTGATGGGAACACTGGACAGCTACATGCAAAAGGATGAAACTGGACCACTGTCTTACCCCACACACAAATATCAACTCAAAATGGGTTAAAGACTTGAATGTAAGACCTGAAACCAGAAAACTCCTAGAAGAAAACATAGGCAGTAAGCTCTTTGACATCAATCTTTGCAATCATTTTTTTTGGTTTCACACCAAAAGCAAAGGCAACAAAAGCAAAAATAAACAAGTGGGACTACATCAAATTTAAAAGGAAACCATTAACAAAATAAAAAGGCCATCTATGGAATGGGAGAAGATATTTGCAAATCATACATCTGATAAGGGATTAATATCCAAAATATATAAAAGGGACTTCCCTGGTGGTCCAGTGGTTAAGACTCCACACTTCCAATGGAGCCTGGGTTCCATCCCTGGTTGAGGAACTAAGATCCCACATGCTATGCGGAGCTGCCAAAAAAAAAAAAAAAAAAAAATATATATATATATATATATATATATACAAACTCACACCACTCAACAGCAAAAACAAGCAAAAAAATTAATTAGAAAAATGGGCAGAGGAACTTGGACATTTCTCCAAAGAAGACATACAAATGGCCAACAGGCACATGAAAAGAAGCTAAGTATCACTAATCACCAGGGAAATACAGATCAAAACCACAGTGAGATCACCCACACCTGCTAGAATGGCTATTATCAAAAAGTAAGAAATAACAAGTGTTGGTGGTGAGGGTGTGGACAAAAGGGAACCCTTGTGCACTGTTGGTGAGAATGTAAACTGGTGCAGCCACTATGGAGAACAGTATGGGGGTTCCTCAAAAAGTTAAAAATAGAACTACTATATGATCTAGCAATTCTGCTTCTGGGTATTTATCCAAAAAATGAAATCACTATCTTGAAGAGACACCTGCATCCTCCTGTTCACTGCAGTATTATTCACCATGGCCAAGACATGGAAACAACCGAAGTGTCCATTGGCTGATGAATGGATAAAGAAGATGTGAGCCACATGTGTGGTGTGTGTGTGTGTGTATCTATAAATGGAATACTGTTCAGCCACAAATAGGAGTTCCTGCTCTTTGCAAGAATGTGGATGGACCTTGAGGGCATTATGGCTTAGTGAAATAAGTCAGAGAAAAACAAATACTGTATGATCTCATATGTGGAATCTAAAAACAAAAACAAAACCTGGGGACTTCCCTGGTGGTGCAGTGCTTAAGAATCCACCTGCCAATGCTGGGGACACAGGTTTGAGCTCTGGTCCGGGAAGATCCCACATGCCGCGGAGCAACTAAGCCTGTATATCACAACTACTGAGCCTGCGCTCTAGAGCCCACGAGCCACAACTACTGAGCCTGCGTGCTGCAAGTACTGAGTCCACCTGCCTAGAGCCCATGCTCCACAACAAAGAGTAACCCCCGCTCTGCAACTAGAGAAAGCCGCACGCAGCAACGAAGACCCTACACAGCCAGAGAGAGAGAGAGAGAGAGAGAGAGAGAGAGAGAGAGAGAGAGGAAGGAAGAAAAACGGACACAGAGAGCAGATTCGTGGCTCCCAGAGACAGGGACAGGGAGTGGGTGAAATGGGTGAAGGGGGTCGAAAGGTACAGACTTCCAGTTATAAAATAAATGTGTCCTGGGAATGAAATGTTCAGCATGGTGACTGTAGTTAACACTGCTGTGTCATGTATGTGGAAGTTGCTGAGAGAGTAGATCTTAAAAGTTCTCACTGCAGGAAAAAACTATGTGAGGTGATGGATGTTAAGACCTACTGGCGTCTGATCTGTAATGTGTACAAACACCAAGCCATGATGTGGGCAGCCGGGAGCCAGAGGTCTGCGTGTGCGAGGTGGTCCGGGCAGAGGGAGCTGGGCTCTAAAGGGGCAGGAAGGGGAAGAAGGGGGCACAGGGATGTGCCGCCGCCCTCCTCCTGAGCTGCCTGCACCGCGGGGCCTGTGTGGGGCTGGACCAGCCAGGGGCCCTGGAGCCTGCAGGGCTGAGGCCAGGGCTCCGAGGGGACTCCCACAGTCGCTGCTGCTTCGACGGGCACCTGTCCCCTCAAGCTGAGGAGGTGAGGCCTCTGACTTCCCCAAGACAAATCCCTTCGGGATGGGGGCTCTGGGCGGCAGCTAGGCTCACACTCCACCTCCCACAGCACCCCCGCCCCAGCCTTCTCTAGGGGTCAGGGTTCCACGGCCGCAGACGCCACTTCTTCCCTCCTGGCGCCCAGCTGCCTCAGGATTTGTGGGGTCCAGCCTTCCTCCATCCCGTCACCAGGATGCAGACTGACAGCCAGTTCGCGAGGGCTGACATCTCACATCCCGAGGGCTGTGGGTCCCAGGCGTGCAGTGGGAATCGGGCCGCGGGGCCATGGGCCCTCCCCGCTCTAGACCAAGAGCCAGACCAGCAGAGGCCGGGAGAGCTCTTTCCAGCACCCAGGCCCCTCCAAGCTCCTCCTCTGTGCTCCCCGCCCGCCCCACAGAACCCAGTGGGTCGCGGTGCATTCAGAGGGGTCAGTCTGGGAGGCCAGGGAGGCCCAGTAACTTGCTTGGAGGCTGCGGGAGGTTGGCTGACGTGTAGGGAGGGCCACCCCAGCCCTGGAGAAAGGTCTGGCCCTGGGCGGGGGTGGACCAGCTCCCAACCTTCAAGGCGCTTTCCCACCAAGACAGAGCCGAGGCTCTGGACCTCGAAGGACAGGTAGAGAGGTGAGTACCGCCCGGGGCCCCCAGTCCCCACGCCCTCCGCCCCTGGGCCGCCCCCTCTCTGCCTCCGCGTGCTCCGTCCCGCTGCTCCCTCTGCCTGAGGCAGACGCGGGTGCGGGCCGAGGCGCCTCCCCGGCTCGCGCTGCCCTGGACACACTGCAGGCGGCGGAAGCGGGTTGTTGAGTGACTTAGTGACCGGAAACCCCGAGAGGTCCGAGACCCTCAGCCAGCAGGGGCAGCGTGTGTGCACGTGTGCACCCCGGGCACTCTCTCCACGTCTGTCCTGGTATCAGGGGCCTTCTCCACTGCCCCGCTGAAGTCCAAGCTGCAAGGCCACCTCAGAGAGGGGACATGGGCGTTGGTCTGCCACAAAACGCTCCCTGCCAAGCCCGGCAGCCCCGGCCCCTGGGCACCGCACTGGAGGTCTCTGTGCGCTGTGGGCGCTGGCCCACCCGAGGATGCTTCCTCCCTCCCCGCCGAGCCGCACTCGGGGAGTCTTCCGGGCAATACAACAGCCGGTTCTGTCCTTCCCATTTCCCACTCTGGGACCGTGGGGATCAGGGTTCAGGAGGGATTTTGGAGCCACGGACATGGGTTCTTGGATGAATGGTGGCAGCTGCAGGGCAGCCTTCCCTCAGTTGTCTGCCTGAAGCCACCATCACCTTCTACCACGTGGGTGCCTGTGAACCACAGCCAAACCCTGCCTGTCTCCATCTCTGATCAAGGGTCCCCTCTGAGGAACAAAAGGGGGTCAGCACAGATGGCACCAGCCCCACTGCCCCCACCAGGCACAGTCCCTGACCCAGACTTCCTTTGAGGAATCGAGGGCCACGCTGCTTCTGTTTTTCTACCTGATGCGCACGTGGTGCCGGAGGCTCTGGGAATCAGCTGGCCCGGCACTGACCCCGCCCGCTGCCACCCCAGAGGGAAGCCCTGTGCCTTTGGGATTAGCTCCACGGTGACAGAGGCCAGCCACACGCCCCGCAGCCAGCGCACGAGGAGGGCACCGGGGCCGCAACATCAGGGATCCCAAGACCCTGTGCTCTGAATGTACTTGGGGAGGTGGATACATCTCATCGACTTAGGCCTGCAGGCTGCAGAGCCCACAGCACCAGGCTGCCAGGGCCTCGGGGTCACCCTGACGAGGAGACCACTTCACAGAACGCGCATCTCTCCGGGAGGGTCCTGGCGCTGCTTTGGAGGGCGGCCTCGTACACCCTGGGTGTTACACACACTTTCTCAATGGGTGTCAGCAGGTGGCCAGACCAGGACAACATGGACAAAAATAAAGTCGGCTGAGAAAGCACAAAGGTTGTATTCCTCAAACCCATACACACACTGACAGGTGCCACCATGTGTGGACACCAACCCACCAAAGAGCGTGCCCTGGCTCATGCCAAGAATACCCTCTGTACTTGTTTTAAAAACTTTTATTGCGCATAAAATGGCCCATTCCCCTTTGTAGATCAGTTGTTACCACCTTTAAATTTTTCTTTAAACTCTCTCCACTTTCTGCCCCACTGAAAAAATTCTGCTCTTTGAAAAGATAGTGGATAGTCTATCACTGCTGGTCAGAGCAGCTGGAGGACAGCTCCCGGGGCAAAGGCCAGAAGACGCCATCTGAGCAGGACTGGACCCTCAGGTGGAGCCGCTGGTGGCCTCGGACTGAGGCGAGGTGCGCTGCCGCCCTGGCCCTGCTGGAGCTGAACCCGGCTCTCCCTGCAAGGGCCTCGGGCTTGGGCCTGCTCACGCCGTGGCATTTCAGAGAGAGATTTCCTGTTGCCCTGCCTTCAAGGGGACTTGACAGGAGCTGAGTGCATTTCCAGAGCTGGGAAACACTGCATGCAGCCCGTCAGCAGGGCACTACAACAACCTGCAAACTAGTGGTTATAAAATGGGAGCTTTCAGAAAAAGTGCTCAACTAGAACCTGAAGTCGCAGCCCTGCGGGAGGGAGTGGGGGAGCATTTCCGAGCTTCTCTGCAGCCTCCAGGCCGTCCTCGTTCCTGCAGGCACGGTGTGCTTCCGCAGGGGCGGGTGTCATGTCCCTCCTGGCCACTCTGTAAACTTGTCCTCGTCCTGGGTGGGCAGAAGCTCGAGGGACGGGCCTGGCAGTTGCGGTGCACCAGGGCGGTGGGTAGGAAGGGTAGGCAAAGGCCACACAGGCGATGAATCCTGTCCCAAGCCCAATTTTATTGGAAGGCTGGGACTTAAGGATGGGATCTAGAACACCCTCCGCTCCCCCTTCTAAGAAACGAGAATAGAAATGGAGGCTCTACCTCATCAAGCAAGAGGTGAAGGTCAGAGCCGCGAGGGCTGGAGCAGCACGTGCCCTGGATTCCAGACGGCAGCTTTGGGACAGACTGAAGAAGACAGTTCTTTGCTCCTTTGCAGTGAGAATGACTCTGTTCAAGTTGAGGCACGATGTGGTCCCCCCAGGGACGCCCCAAGGTCGGTGTGGACGCCCCCTGTCCTGCCCTGAGGCCTCTCTTCCCTGCACGCAGTCCCGCTCCACCAGGAGTCGGCTGGAGGGCCTCGGGACTGGCCTGGCACTGCCCTCGCTCCTCTGCGGACGAGCACGGCCCCTGCAGAGTCTAGCAGTGGCTCTGCAGGCTGGACACTGCCGGCCTCTGGCTGAGCCACGGCACGAGCTGGCTCCACGGTGCTTCCTGTCCAGTGCCTCCCCACGAAGAGGTGCTGGGCTGGAGCTGGGCCGGAGCTCATGTGTGTGTGTGGGGGGCCCCAACTGGAGTCCCCCAGTGTGCCGTCACTGCAGCTCCAGCTGGCTGGATCTGGGCCTCGCTGAGCAGGGTCCCACGCGCTGGTGCAGCCGGCCTAAAACTTTCTTTAATAAATGTGCTGTGGCAGGTGAGATCTCGGCACCAAAATGGAGGAAAAATGGGTTCTGCAGAGCCAGGATTCCAACAGGGAGGCCAAGAGGCATCTGTGCCTCATGGCGTGGCCTCCAGCAGCTCAAATGCGTCCTTGACAAGCGAGCGGTGTAGACACAGACGCCCGGGGCCGGGCACAGGAGGACGGGCGCTGCACGCCGGGCCCACACGGGGGTCTTGCTGACCTGAGGGTTCAGGTCAGCCCCACGATGAAACAGTAATGAATGGAGTGACAGCGCGGTCAGCTGTGACCCACCTCCACACCCCTACCCAGGTGCCAAGCAATCAGTGTCCTGGTAAAGATATAAAAGTGAAGTTGCTTCTTTTCAAGTATTAAAAAAATAAGTTAATTGACAAAGAGGCCACGCCTCCCAGGCTGTCAGCTTCGTTCGGGGCAAACCCAGGAACGAGGCGAGGCCTCCCACCCGCCACGAGGAGCCCGTGACAAGGCCGCAGGCCTGTGGTGGGGCCAGAAGAGGGTCTCTGCCCGACCCTGAAGTCAGTATCTTCCAGTGTTGTGAATTAAAAGCAAATGCAGCAGCCTCAGGCCTCAGGCCACAGCCAGGAGAGGCCTGGAGTGTGGCACTGGGCCATGGGGTGGGCCTCCTCAGCCCTGGATGAAGTATGAGCTGGCCCCCTGAGCCTGGGGATCGGGGCGGAGCCGCGTCCCTTCGACCAGGCGTCCCCCCAGGATCCGCGTTCCCCGTCTCCGAAGCAGGAGGGCAGGGAGGCCTCTTCGAGGAGGCTGCGCTACTGGACCACCGTCTTCACTGGGGATCCCACAGCTCGGCGCTTGACTGCTTCTCAGAGCCACGAGGAGGTCTGAGTGCAAACTCCCAGGAGGCAGCAGGCCCACTCCGACCTCGGATCTGGGTGGTCTGGGAGCAGCCAGCCCGGGTCGAACGGTGCACAGACCAGCCAGGGCCGGGCGGCGCTCAGGACCAGTTCAGGCTGAAGCCCTTGGACAGCATGGCGGCCTCCAGGTCCTTGTCCTCCTCCTTCTCCCGGAGCCGCTGCTCCTCCAGCAGGGCCACCAGGGCGTCTCTCTGCTCCACCACCTCCAGCATCTCGTTCAGGATCCTCTTCTCCTCCGACAGCTCCTCCTCTGTCTTCAGGTGATCTGGGCAGAACCAAACACGTGAGTCCCCAGCGCCAGAGGCAGTGGCCCGCACCTGCCTCCCCGCCCCTCCTACCTTCCATGGCCATCCGCTCGCGGAGCTCCTGCTGCAGCCGGCTCTGCCGGTCCTCCAGCTCCAGCTCCCGGGCGCTGGGGTTTCCGGGGATTTGGGGGGAAAATGAGCCAGTGACTGGTGGGGGGTGGCACAGTTCCGCACCCCCTAAACTGGGAGGGGGCTGCGCTCCTGCTGCGACGGGCCCTGCGCCCACGTCCCACCTCGGCTCCCCCAGACCCGAGGCCACTCACAAGATCATGAGCTCCGACTCATAGCGCACCACGGCGTTCTTCTCCTGCACCAGCTTGAACCACTCCTGCATCAGCTTGGGGTCGTCCTTTTTGCCCATGCCTGCCGAGAGAGGGCGTGTCGGGCAGGCCGTGCCGCTGTCCCCAGCCCGGACGCGGCAACGGGGCAAGTGTGCAGAGAGCCCAGCAGGGCGCTGCCTGACGCTCCTGGGCCAGGCCCAGTCTGCCTTCGGGCACGAGGACGACCACCCCCAAGGGTCCCCAGCCTGCACCTTCCTCTGTCCCTCCGGCCGGCCTCACGCCCCAGCCACTGGAGGCAGCTCGCCTGGATCTCTCCTGCTCGGCCGCTTGCTTTCTCTTGGCATGTTTTCGGTGCTCTGCCCTCCTTTTTTCTCTTTTTCATTCATCTAGCACGTATTTGGTACTTGCTAGGTACTAGGTCTGCTCTGAGGCCAGTCTAATGAAGAGGCAAATGGAGATTAAAAGGGTACTCGGCCCTCCTTTCCGGGGACACTCACTACGGCACCTCCACAGGGTCACTGCCCCGAGGCCTCCTCGTTTCCAATACCCTGACCAGGGAGGTGCCTCTCAACTTGCGGCTTCCTGATAGATGCTGCCGCGACCCCTGCATGGCAGACGCAGTACGTCCCTGGGAGATGTGCGGACTCTCACCAGGGCAGGGAGACCGCAGGCTCCCCCCAAGCCCCTGCTCTGATCCAAGCCCAGCAGCAGCTTCTGGGGCTGGTGCACCCTACTCAGCTGACACCCGTCTCCACCAGGAGCGGCCTGGCCCCCTCGGGCTCAGCCGCCGCAGGAGGGAAGGAAGACCTTTCCAAGGAGCCACACCCCACGGAAGGGACACAAGGAAGCCCACGGCCGTAGTGGGTCCTGTCCAGACGCAGAAGCCAGACTGCGGTGGCTCTTCGCTGTTTTCAGATTACAAGCCACTCGACAGTCTCAGGAAACCTGGGGACTCTCTTCCTGGAAAACTGCACGTGAACACATCCAATATCTCTGCCAAGGACTCCAGGTGTTCATGGGTCCCACAAGTCCACCCACGGCTGGGCTAAGAGGCCGGGACGGGGAGGTCTCTCCAAGTGCCTCTGCTTTACGGGTCACTGGTCAGAAGTCCTCTCCCAGTAAAACCAAGCCCAGGAACACACGGGGTGGCTCTCAGGGACCCCGACCTCCCACCACACGCGAGGGCAGGGGCCGCGTCTGCACTGCGTTGTCCTGGGTCCTGGCCGCTGCGGAGTGCGTGCTGGGCACCAGGGCCAGAGCACTCCCGACCGCCCGGTAGTCCCCATCCAGCTCCGCGCGTTCCTTCCTGAGCGGCTCTGCACAGGGCACCCGCGGGGCGTACGGGGAGCACGGGGCCCAGGGCAGGTAAGCTCTCTGGGCGCCAGGATGCCTCCTGAAGCGCTCGAGCCAGCTCCGGAGGGACGGCCGAGGTGGACGCAGCTGGTGGTGGTCAGCGGTGAGCGAGCGCCGGGGAGAGCAGAGGAAGGTTAGCGGGTTAGCCGTGGTCACACTCCCCGGCCCCGCCCGCATGCCTTGTCAACGACAATCACCACCACAAGGGACTGCAAACCAGACAAACTTAAAACACACACACTCAGCAAGACACAGGGCAGAGAAGTCTGCTTTTCGTGGTTTGGAAGGAACTGGGGCATCTGTGCAGAACAGTCTTTGTAAGGACAGTATTCCTCGACGTCACCAGCACACATCACTGCCACACGGGGCAGGGCTCCTCACCCGCGTCCTGGTCCCTCTATCTGCGGGACTGGAGGCTGAAAGGCCCGACCACGAGTGGTGGCCTGGAACCGTGGATGCCTGCAGCCTGAGGCCCCCAGACCTGGACCTGCTCCCTGCCTGCACCCGCCCCCCAGCCCCCCGAGACAGTCGAAGGGATACTGTACCTTGTAAGGGACTGCCACATACTCAGGGGGTTTGTAACAGGGCTACCAGGTACCAGAAGAAGAAGGAGAAAGAGCTGGGTTTCCGGTCCCTGTTTGACTAGTGTTGCTACGGCCCCCCGAGAGGCGGTGGGGAGAAGGTTGGGGTTTACTTTACCTTCCTGGACACAGCAAGGGCAGAAGGAGAGAGGTCTACGTCGTGGAGTCCCGCCACTGGGCTCAACTTCAAAAAGGGCCAAACAAGGAGGACGAGGCGAGACGGACAGAGAGGAGGGGGAGGTGGAAGTGGAGGGGGAGGGAGAGGAGAAGTGAGAACAAGCAGAGGACAGAAAGCAAACGAAGTGAGAAAGGAACAACAGGAGGAAAAGAAAAAATACAAGAAATGGAAAAGCAGAAGCGAGGGAAACACGTCTACAAATGAATTCAGTCCTGTATCCAGCACAGAGACTGAGCAGGAACAGCCCCGGGCCTGGGGAGGGCGGGCTCCCTCCTCCTTTGGTCCTGCCGGGAGGGCGGGAGAGCTGGGGATGACAATCTGGGGGCCTTTTGGGTTTGGGGATCCCTCCGTGAAAACATCCAAAGTGCCAGCAGGCCTGCCCGCTGCCGTGGAACAGCCAGGCCTGAGTGAGAGTTCTCAGATGTTACCACGTGGGTGAATCTAAGGGCTGGGGGGCTCTCTGGGCACTGAACCCATAGAGGAGCTCCCCGCCACGGAGGCAGCGCCCAGTCTTTGATGGGCCTCCAGGGCCGACACCTGTGATGCTCTGATTCTGAGCCAGGGCTCGTTGGTCCAGCGTGTCCCCACGGAGGCGGTCCCCACTGCCCAAATCTCTGTCCCCCCACAGCCAGAGAGAGCCGATCGCCCCTCTTCCTCTGCCCCTTCCCTCTCTGCAGAGGGTCGACGCCACAGCTGGGGACGCTGTCACACTGCGGACTGCACGACAGGACACGCCAAAAACTCACAGAAACAAAGCTGGGAAGTCGTGCAGAGGACATCTCTAGACTCGGGGCCTGGGGCTCTCAGGAGCGGGGACCGTCAGCAAGGGACCATCACAGAACCACAGGGCACACGCAGGAGCCATGGCCCCACGTGGTAGGCAGGGCCTGGACCATTAGAAACAAGCCTGTTTAGGTGAACACAAGGGCCAAGCAGCCACGTGTTGGTTGAGAGGCCCTTTACTTTGCAACGGGGTGAGTGCAACTGCCATGTTTTCTCTTTCTTTTAAGCTCTTCTCCGTGTTCTCCACAGGGCTTTGTGCATGAATCTGATATTGGGCGAAAATTCACGACTAAGGCCAGAGGCTGTGTGTGTGGGGTGGGTGTCAGAGGCTGTGTGTGTGGTGGGTGTCAGAGGCTGTGTGTGTGGTGGGTGTGCAGAGGTTGTGTGTGTGTGGTGGGTGTGCAGAGGCTGTGTGTGAGATGGGTGTGCAGAGGTTGTGTGTGTGTGGTGGGTGTGCAGAGGCTGTGTGTGTGGTGGGTGTCAGAGGCTGTGTGTGGGGGGGGTGTGCAGAGGCTGTGTGTGAGGTGGGTGTGCAGAGGTTGTGTGTGTGAGGTGGGTGTGCAGAGGCTGCGCGCGTGGGGTGGGTGTGCAGAGGCTGCGTGCGTGGGGTGGGTGTGCAGAGGCTGCGTGCGTGAGGTGGGTGTGCAGAGGTTGTGTGTGTGGTGGGTGTGCAGAGGCTGCGTGCGTGAGGTGGGTCTGCAGAGGTTGTGTGTGTGTGGTGGGTGTGCAGAGGCTGTGTGTGTGGTGGGTGTGCAGAGGCTGTGTGTGTGAGGTGGGTGTGCAGAGGCTGTGTGTGTGGTGGGTGTGCAGAGGCTGTGTGTGTGGTGGGTGTGCAGAGGCTGTGTGTGTGTGGTGGGTGTGCAGAGGCTGTGTGTGTGGTGGGTGTGCAGAGGCTGTGTGTGTGAGGTGGGTGTGCAGAGGTTGTGTGTGTGGTGGGTGTGCAGAGGCTGTGTGTGTGTGAGGTGGGTGTGCAGAGGTTGTGTGTGTGGTGGGTGTGCAGAGGTTGTGTGTGTGAGGTGGGTGTGCAGAGGCTGTGTGTGTGGTGGGCGTGCAGAGGCTGTGTGTGTGGTGGGTGTGCAGAGGCTGTGTGGGGTGGGTGTGCAGAGGCTGTGTGTGAGGTGGGTGTGCAGAGGCTGTGTATGTGTGGTGGGCGTGCAGAGGCTGTGTGTGGTAGGTGTGCAGAGGCTGTGTGTGGGGGTGGGTGTGCAAAGGCTGTGTGTGTGGTGGGTGTGCAGAGGCTGTGTGTGTGGTGGGTGTGCAGAAGCTCTGTGTGTGTGTGCAGAGGCTGCGTGTGTTTGTGTGTGTGTGGTACGTGTGCAGCAATCACGTCCAGAGTTCCGAGTGGCGTGACCAGCTGGTCACTGGGGCAGGCGCGAGCCCTCCTTTCTTACAAACACCCCCAACTTATAACTCATCTACATCCAACTTTCTCTGTCTAAAGGCTGGTGCTCAGGACACCTGGATATGCCCACAAACTAGAGGGTCCCCACCTCTGACGCTTCCTGGGATAGATGTTAAATGCAAACAGGCTGCAGTGAAAGTGGAACAGCATCCCTGCTTGTTAGCAAGGGACAGGGACATGACACACAGCCACACGCATCCGAAACAAGGAGGCACGCGCCGGCAGCATAGGTAAGAATGTGCTTCCCCTTCTAGACATCACAAAACACAGCATTTAGCCCTTGTATGCAGCCCACGTCCTCAGACGCCCTTCCAGCACAGAACACGGCACGAGATCGCAGAACAGGACTCAGGACAGAAATTAGGAAAGCAGCACCCTCGTGACAACAGGCAGAGCAGATGTGGAATGGCCAGAGGCCATGAAGGGCGGGTTGTGACTCTCTTCCTTAGCCTTCCTGCACGCTCTGATATTTCCATAATGTATACTTTATAATCAGAAAAAACACCCAATAAATACTGTTTTATAAAGAAGAAACTGAAGGAAAAAACCAGCCAAACAAGGGGAGTTCCACCCCAGACCTGAACCTGAAACGAGCATGCAAGGGAGACACAGAGACGCTGGTTTGGAGCTAGTCTCTTGCCTCATTTGGAGACATGAGAGACACAGGTTTGGTTCACCAGCTGTAAGGGCAGAGAGGTCGTCACACTCATGGCAAATAGAAGTCGTTGACATTAGTTTCTGTATAACGTCGAGGAGATGGGTTCCTGTCCATGTGCATCACTCACTCTGACCCCAGCTGCCACCCAGAGCACCCAGAGCCCGCGTGCCAGGTGCGGCCTTGCAGGGTGGCCGTCAGCACCCACCCTCCCCAACTTCGGGTCAAGCAACACGTGTCACTGAACTTGAAAAGCTGCAGATTATCATCGTGCAGCCAGGCACATCTCATGGATTCCAGAGGGACGCGTGACGTGAGCGTGGCAGTGCGTCAGAATTCAAACCACGGGCACCTGTGTGGCCTCCTCTGGCCCCTGCACTGGCCCCGGGGGCTGCCCAGCCAGACGGGCACGGCAGCTCTGCCGTCAAAGGAGGGACCGGAGGCTCAGAGGGTCTGAGGTGTGCAGCCCGACTAGGACCCACCCTCGCTCTCCCGTTCCCAGCACAGAGGGCCCTTCCTAGAGGACCGACAGAGGCTCCAGGCAAACCCAACAAAAGGACGCAGCTTGGAGGACAGGGGTCACACACAGAGCCCACTCGGGTGCCAGACCTGGAAGGGCCACCAAGCTGCCTGCGCCCCGCCTAACGGAGAAGCCCAGAGAAGGCGAGTGGCTGGGCTGGGGACACGGTGAAGCGGGCCTGAAGCCAGGTTTCGTCTCCCTAAGTCGGGTGCTCTCCAGCGACTGCCTTGCCTCTCTGGTGGCCCGGGGCCGGGCCAGGACCCTGCAGGCTGTGGAACAGTGGGCAGCCACGACCAGTCCTGCGGCAACCCACCTCCACTTGTTCTTTCTATATATTTCCGTCTCCCCTGCTTCCTCATAAAGGCTTTGCCTGCAGCACTGCATCCTCCCTCCCACCCAATCACCCCACTACAGGGAACGTCAGGGTAGCTGGAGACAGAGTGGCTGGTTTGCAAGCCGTAGGGCGGCATGCAGCATCTGACAGGGTGGAAGGCTCTGCCCAGCAGACCCGGCCGACAGACAGACAGCTGGGGAGATACCTTGTTAGGAAAACTCAGTATGGAACAAACCTCTAGACTGGAGAAAAACGAAGGGAAAAAAAATGCATGTGAAAACTGAGATCCAACACACACACACACACACACACACACACATACACACACACACGTGTACACACACAGGCTGGGACACGCACACACACAGGAATGCTGGGGAATCTCAAGGATTTAAAGTTCCTAAAGCAAAACCAGAGCCAGGCTAATGCTCAAACCGAACAGACCAGCCAAAAATCTGCCAGCATCAACTAAGTGGGGCAAACAGCACAGGCAGGCTCGGAAGGGGGAGTGGGCAGGTGGGACGTGCTTCCCTGCCTTCCCACCACAACTCACAGCAACAATGAAAGCCCCTCCCCAGTCCTTTACACTACGTTTCTAAACCACTCATGTTCTTTCAATTTCCCCTTGAGACATACAAATCACGAGGTGAGGTCTTTGAAAACTAGAAATCAGGTGTATGTATTTCAATTAATTTTTTTTTTTGGTCACACCATGCTGCATGGGGGATCTTAGCTCCCCGACCAGGGATCAAACCCACGCCCCCTGCATTGGAAGCACAGTCTTAAACAATGGACCGCCAGGGAAGTCCCCAGGTGTATATATTTCTAATTTAATGTTCTCCAGAAGAGATGTTTTTATCTGAAGATGTCCAGTCGCCTACCTTGGTCTAGTGCAGCAAGACTGATGGCTGGGCAGGGAGGACGCTGCCTCTGTCCTTTAATGGGTCCTTTGAAATCACAAGATTCAGCTTTGTGAAAAGGGGATCTTTATACTCTGTGGCTCAGAAAGAGGCTTTTAACAGATTTGGTGACTTTAAAGGTTAGCTGAGAGCCACTGTAAGACTCCACGGAAGCACGTCTGTGTGGTGGGCAGAGGCCGGGCAGGGATCTGGAGGCTGGCCTCCTCTTACCCACGCAGGAAGTAAGGTTGGTGCTGGGTTTCCCTGTGGCTCTTTGGAGATACAACAGTAGAGAAGCAATCAGATTCTACACTTCGGGCTCCAAATTTCAAAAGGGTAAAATTTCCCCAAATAATGAGATTACCAAGCACTCTAAGAAGGTAGCAGCATCAGGGACTGAAAAGGAGGCTGATTCTGGCATCTGTTCTCCTCCCAGACCCTGTGGGAGGGCAGCAGCCTCTGCGTGCTGAGCAGAGCCCACCGAGGCTGGACTTTACACAGAAATCACAGAGAACTGACAGAGCAGGAAGTGAATCAGGCAGCAGGGGTCATAAGGTGTTTAATGCAGGTGTTCACAATTCAGAGATACACTGAGTTCCTTTTTCTATTTATTTCATTTTCCCCTGGAATTTGTGGGAATTCTAAACCCAGAAGGCTAGAAGCTGAAGTCCAGGGACACAGAAATGGAAACAGCCAACATCTTATCCCTCAAGCCAACAGGAGCAAAGAAAACAAAACTAGCCACACGAGGTAATCAGTGTGGCAACAGTACTCGAGCTGGGAGGGAAGGGCAAACGCAATTTTAAAGAAACGGGTTCGATAGTTCTTCCCAGTAGATTCTGAATTAAACAAAAAAATACTTGTCACATTCGTTTGGAATCGACATAAACGTTGCCCGGGGTGTCGGGAAGCGGCGGGAAGGGAGCCCAGGACGTTAGTCAGGGGTGGGGTCTGTTAGTCGGGGGGTAAGCATCAGCCCTTCTACAGCAGCAACGGCCACGAGGTGGCAGCACCTGACACCAGAAGCTCGGGGCCCTGGAGGGCCATGCAGAGGGGCGAACCCATGGACATGGGGTGAGAAGGCAGAGCAGAGGCCAGCGACAGCCCACCCCCAAGGAGGCTGGGAGGCTGGGAGCCTCCTTACTGGTGGAGCCTCTCTAAGACCAGGGCTCTGTCTTGAGTCGCAATCAGAATCATGCTTTGGTTTTTAAATGAATGGGCCAAGAAGTGACTCTCAAAAGGATGGGATTACAGTAAAATATGAGAGACAGTGACCTTTGTCCCCTCGTCTGTCTCAAGAGCACTTTCAGGCATGGAGCCTGCATGGGGAGATGAAGAGGTGAGACCGCCTGACCCAGGACTCAGGACTCCAAGAAGGCGCTGGGCCCCGGGAGCCTCAGCTTCTGATACGAGGGCAGCCTTCCAGGAGGAAAGGTGCCCAAGGTCTAGAGGTGAGACTCAGGCCTTGGCTGTTTCTCTGATCCGACACAAATGGTGAGCTTTGTATGCAAGATGACAAACACACTGAGTTCCTTTGAGATGGCGGTTCCACTTTAGAAGGCATGAGAACGGCCTGGAAGGTTTGTTAAAGCAGGTAACCAGGCCTCACCTCCAGGGTTCCTGACTCAGAAGGTCTGGGGTGGGGCCTGAGAACCTGCACTTCTAACAGGCCCCCAAGGGGTGGTGCCAATGTTGCCACTCCAGGGACCATACACGGAGGACCACTGCCTGGGACTTTTCCTGTCTTGGTTGAAAAGAGCTGCAAAGTAGGTCCCTGGACAGAGCAAGGAGGGGGGTACATTCTCAGAGGCATCGGTCAACACAGCCTCAAGTCTGGTGAATCTGGGCAGAAATCACCGTGACACCACTCCCAGGCACCTGGACCTCTCAGGGGGCGCCCGAGCACGCCCTGACGGAGACAGTGGAGGCCGAGCTCTCTGTGTGTTTGGTTCCCCAGTGTGGTTGGCAGTGAGCTTCCTGGGGGGAGTGGGAGGGATGTGCTTCGAGGGGAGGTCATGGTAGAGTGTGTGTGTATGCGTGCGTGTTGAGTGTGTCGTGTGTGTTCCTACCGTCAAACAACCCAACGATATTAGTGGGACCAGAGTGAAGATTTGAGGTTGACAGGCTGGGGTAGGTGAACTTTTATTTATAAAACATTAAAATAACCCCGGGCAGCAAAAGCTATCTCAGGTCTCCCCCTGGAGCACATACGGGCAGGGGGAGGGTCGGGCATTGCTCCCTTTGAGCTGGAAAAGGGCCTGTGCTTTTGCCATCTGCTGGTTATCGGGATGACTTCTTGCTGTTTGTGAGCAGGTGCGGGGGAGGGGGGCATCAGCAGGGTTAGTTCAGCAACAGGGCTGCAATACATACCACCCAGGCGCAAGTCGATGAGGTCAGTGTAATAAGACTCTCCCCAATAGTCTACAACAAGGAATCGGTGAAGAGAGTTACTGCATCAGATAACCCTCCGGTCCCCCCGAGCCTCGAGCAATGAACGGCGTGAAGCATAAGAAACACCCAGAGACGCAGCAGGAGGGGGACAGGCGGCAGTTGGAAAGCATGTGTCCCCCCAGGTGCCCCCCCCGCCCCCCCACGTGCACACTGTAGCCACAGACCTCTGGGTGAGAGGGGCGGTCACAGAAAACCACAGGTGACTGCACTGACAGAAAGCGATCGGCCAGGACAGAAGCCTTGGCTTGGTTGGGAATCCTGCTGGGACTCAAGCTCATCTAAGATTTTAAAAAACTCAAGGGCAGATCAAAGGCTACGAACCTCCCTAATTTCTGAATATGAGAAGCCCCAGGCTGAGGGGCTGAAGGCGAAACGTGAACACCCTAAAAAAGCTGTGTCAGGAACCAGCCCTCAGCTTGCCCTGTCCACACCGACCCCACCAGAAGCAGAAGCACTTCTGCTGGACAGTCTGAGATGAAGGAGGCCCTGTTTCTTCTGCGTTCAGGCCCCCAAGGTCTCCAGCCCCCCTAAGAGCAGGCAACGGGCGGCAACGTATTCTTGTTCATCATACTCCAGGACCCCGACACAGGCGCTGTGAGCGAGGGCGGCCCCCAGGACCGTAACGCACGCAGAGTGGAGTCGGCTGCGGTTCGCTACCCTTTCCTCCACAGCTCACAGTCTGACAGCTGGTCCTGGCAGCCTCTGGTTCCACACGAGGGCTCCTTCCAAAACACACACACCGGAAAGCAGACTGAGGCTGATCCAGTGGGTTCCAGAGACAAAGAGGGCTTCCCAGCTGCCCCAGACCAGAAACCTCACGAGTCTCCGTCTTATCCAAGGCTCTGAAGCTAAACTTGCCGTGCGGATATACGTGAGACTCAGAACTACGCGAGCCTTCTCTGGAAGGCAGCTAGGCCACCAGTCTGACCCCTCAGAGAGCCCTTCGGGTGAGACCGAATGGCCAGTTCAGGGAAGGAGCTGACCAGCACTACTCAGCCCGAGTGGCCTTCTCAAAGGCTCGGCCGCGAGCAAGCAGACGAGCAGGAGGCATGGGACACAGAAGCCCAAGAGAAGGCACCGCTGAGCCTCAAAGACGACCTCTGTCAGGTGGGAGCAGAGCCCCAGGGGCTTCTGCCAAGAGGGAGCCTAGGAAGTGATGTGCTTAAAAGAAGAAAAGCGAAGTACTGGGTTCCTGTGTCGAGTGTTTCCAAATGCATTGTGGGAATCTCCCAACGGAGGTACCACAGCCCGTCTTTGAAACAGGAGACGTGTATTTGGACAGAAGTTCTGGGAAACTTAGCAGACTCTGGACCAGAATTGTGGTTTCAACCTGCTCTCTGGAAGCTTCCGGTTCTTCAAGTGCTGTTCTGGGGTCTCCCAAATACCCGATTCACAACTACTTTTAACTCATCAAAAAACTTAAACATGGCTTCCCTGGTGGTGCAGTGGTTAAGAATCCTCCTGCCAATGCAGGGGACACAGGTTCCATCCCTGGCCCGGGAAGATCCCACATGTCGCAGAGCAACTAAGCCCGTGCGCCACAACTACTGAGCCTGCGATCTAGAGCCCACGAGCCACAACTACTGAAGCCTGCGCGCCTAGAGCCTGTGCTCCGCAAGAGAGACCACAGCAATGAGAAGCCCGCGCACCGCAACGAAGAGTAGCCCCCGCTCGCCGCAACTACAGAAAGCCTGCGTGCAGCAACGAAGACCCAACACAGCCAAAAGTAAAAAATAAATAAATTAAAAAAAAAAAAACTTAAACAGGACACACCATGTTCGAATCTTTGATCTGCCAATGTGTAACCCACTGAAGCCCATCAACATGTTAATCTGTGCTGCAGGTAAACTCGCTTCTGTGAGGCCCCAGGACCAGGCTTCTTCTGCCCTCTGTGTGCGAGTGTCTGCCCTGCCTGTGACGCGTGGGAAAATGACACTTCATTCATCAACTTCAATCCCGGCCTGCTAGCAGGGTCTCACTCTCAGAGTGTCCTGCCAGGGTGGTCCTCCAGGTGCCGGGTGGTCCTCCAGGTGCAGAGTGATCCTCCAGGTGCCAAGGTGGTCCTCCAGGTGCAGGGGAGTCCTCCAGGTGCCAGGGTGATCCTCCAGGTACCAGGGTGGTCCTCCAGGTGCCACAACACATAGCACACCTGGTTCTGGGTTCACTGTATGTTTGGGAGTATTTATCTGATCTCTTCTTCATAAAGAATCTGAACTGCAGTTGGATCTGTAGTGATTCCACTGAGAGAGCAACTCCGACTTTAAGCTGCAGACACCCAGACCGTTCTCACTGTGCATGTCCTGAGATTCCCATGGCTGTATATGACCTGCCCCCACCTCTGCGCATCAGGTGCCCACCCTACGTCCAGGGCTGGACTGGACATGGAGGGTATTAACCCTGCAGCTCTCCACAACCTGCATTTTCAAATTGTGTTTATTAACATTTAAGAGTAATTTTTTTTTTGCGTTAAACTTGAACTCATAATTTGTCTTGTAAAAAAGCGTTCTGCTGCTTTTAAAAAAAGTTTGAAAACCACTGACTTAGACGAAATTCTGGTTGTATGTGTTTACAAAAAGGTAATTATGTAAACAACTAGTAAGCGGAATTGCAGCAAAATCCCAGGTCAATCTTCAGTGGTCCCTTTTCTCTGGCCCCTTGGCAGGCAGCAGACTGAGGAATGCAGCTTGCTGTGGAAATGCTGAGGGGCCGCCATGGACAAACCGCAGGGCAGCTGACAGACATCTGAATGCCAGGCGGAACCATCAGCGCTGGGTGTGCATCTGAACCTCAGAGCCCTGTGGGGCACAGGGGCACTTACGCAAACTGTGGCCCCTCTCCACCTCGGCAGGAGGAATCTGAGGGTCCAGGCTCCTCCTGGCATCTTCTGCAAGCAGAGAGAGCAGAGATGGCAGGGCCCGCGGGTCCCCGTTCCCACTGCTTGCAGGGCTGCTCCATCCAGGTGGTCACGTTTGACAGAGGAGGCTGGGTCAGGGCACGCAGGGCGGGGGCCCTGCCGGGTGAACCTGAGTCCCCGCTCCCGGGCACAGGGGCTGGTTCGCCTCCGGAGTCAAGTTCTCACATTTCATCTGGTGGCACAGTGAGTCCAGCATCAGGCACAAGACATCACAGCCTCATCTTCCTGCCTCGTGTCCTGTCTTCACCTGAAGGTCACCCTGAGTCCACTGCTAGCTGCATTCCGTGGCCGTGAAGGGTCAGGACGGGAGACACCTCCTCTGTGCCTGACCCCAGTCCTCCAGAGCCCCACGAACGCATCCCGACACCAGCCGCTCACTCGGAGGCCAACCACTGGTCAGTCTTCCAGCAAGATCAGAGGCAGCGACAGGCCGCATTCGTGGCTGCCTCTTCCTGATTCGCCTTCAGTTTACCCTCAGCCCAAAGCCCAGAGGACCCGTCCCCGCTCCCAAGTAAAACCACGTCACCACCTGTCCTCATCCCTGGTCCCACGACTCTAGTGCTGACCCTGGAGGCCCGTGCTCTCTACAAAGGGTTGGAGGCTCCAGATTTGGGGACTTGGGAAGGCAGGGAGGAATCACTTGTGCCTGGGTTGGGGCTACAGCTGGGGCTGATCCAGTGGTTTCAAGGTCCTGAACCAAGAGGGCCTCCTGGGCCCTCGGCACCTCTTTGGTCTCCAAGCCCCACTGTGCTGGGCCCACCCACAGGCTCTGGGGACAGTGGTGTGACTGCACTGCCCCCATGGCTCTGCCCCAGGAAGGGCAGTTACCAGCACATGGCCCTCACAGCCACTTCCCAGGGTCTGCTCTGCTTGGGCTCTGCCCTGAGTGCCCAGCCTCCAGGACAGAGCCTGGTCCACCCGGGGCACCAGCTCCACCCGTTGGGGCGGGGGGCGGGGGTGGCCTGCACGAGCAGTTCTGTGATGGTTCCTTGTGCACAGCCTGCCCCGTTCCAGTCACTGTCTTCTCAAGTAAAAGATGGGGAGGAGGGAGGAGAGAGGAGGCCCAGGGCATCAGCAGCAGATGGTGGGCCGAGGGGACGGCCAGCCCTGCGATGCACGGGCCTTTCTCCTCCTTTGCTTAACAGAAGCCCCGGCTCTCAGTGACGAGGGGACCAGAGAGAGAATCCTGCTGGAGACTAGCTGACTCCCAGGGGCAGGACAGGAACTAGCCTCCCGCGGGGCTGGGTGGGCATTCCTCAGGGATCCCCTGTCCGCCAGGAACCCAGCCGGTACCTGCTTCCCCACGCAGCGCCTTCTCCACAGCGACGCCCCTCTCCTCCAGCTGGCGCTGCTTCTCCTCCACCTGCTCCAGCTGCCGCTGGATGATCTGCGGGCGACACGACAGCGTGAAGGAGGGAGAAGGGCGAAGCGGGCGGGTGCCCAGAGCGTGGCATGAGCACACGAGGGTGCGGGGCTCTTGAGAGTCTCAAACAGATCCTGCTTCGACAAGATTAAAACTGCCCAGCGCAGACTTGCGCTTGCTGGGGTCAGGGGTTGGGGTGAGGGACTGGGAGTTTGGGGTTAGTGGCTGTAAACTATTAGACGTAGGATGGATGAACACCAAGGTCCTGGTGTACAGCACAGAGAATCACAGCCAATCTCCTGGGATACACCATCATGGAAAAGAGTATAAAAGGAATGTATACACATAGATAACTGAATCACTTCACTGTACAGCAGAGACTAGCACAACATCGTGAACCAACTCCACCTCAATGAGAAAACATGGCTCCACTCTGCACGGAGTGAGGCTTCTCGGGGATGACTGACACCCGGGACGACCTCCCACCCCGAAGCAGCGGCAGGGACATATCTTCACACAGAAAATGAAATAAAATCCAGGGATCCGGTCATGCAGGGAACGCAGATCCAGAGTAACGTCCGGGGAAAGGACAAGAAGGCTGGTTTTGGAAAACCAGAGGAATCTCTTCGCTGGGAATGGATTTGCTGTTCATGTTTCTTGCTGTTGTAGAGCTTTTGATTATTGTCCTAATCTTTATGAACACAGCTATATACATACGATTTCATTAAAAAACCACATTGTATTTAGGTATCATTTAATACTTTGCGTTAAAAAATTATTTTTTGTTAAAAAAAAAATAATCTGGGGGCTTTCCTGGTGGCGCAGTGGTTGAGAGTCCGCCTGTCGATGCGGGGGACACGGGTTCGTGCCCCGGTCCGGGAAGATCCCACATGCTGCGGAGCGGCTGGGCCCGTGAGCCATGGCCGCTCAGCCTGTGCTCCGCAACGGGAGAGGCCACAACAGTGAGAGGCCCACATACCGGAAAAAAAAAAAAAAAAAAAAAAAAAACCTGAAAGGCCTGGGACCCTGAGGACAGCTCCAACCTCTAAATCCCAGGCGCATCGGAGGCCAGCCAGTCACAGCTGCCTCTTGCTAACAGCTCTGACAAACGCAGGAGCTGGCTTTACAGTGGTTCTTCCAGAGCTAGGGATCTAGGAGACTCAAAGCCGGGCCCCTCCCTTTCCCCCAGCCAGCGCCCCCCGCGAGGCTTCTGCAGTTGCACGAGTGGCGGCCCTGCTCGCCTCCTCTCCCCCCCTCCTGTGGGTGCGGACTCCCAGCGGCTCACCTGGGCGCGGTGCAGCCGCTTCAGCTCCTCCTGCTTGGCCTGCCTCCGGGCTGCTTTCTGCACACGCCGGGTCAGCTTGGTGTTCAGCTCCTCCTCCGTGTAAGTCCTCGGCTGCAGGGGACGATAGGGGCTTATTCAGTCAGGGTCATGGAGGCCGCAGGGCAGGCGGGGGCGAGGTGTGCGCAGACACCCAGACCCTCAGCCTGGCAGGAGCTCCACGGGCCAGGGGGCACGGGCACGTGGAGATCCATGGGAGACGCTCCCATGGGGCAGGGACAGGAGGCTGGCTGCACAGTGACTGCTGGGCAGTTAGGACAGGAGGGTGGGGTGCCTTTACTGCTGAGATCACCAGTTTCCCATGTAAGGACGTCTGCTCTTCTTTAAGACAGTGGGGGTAAACATGTTGATCAAATGTTTCCCCCAAGCCTCTTGCTTGTAGGGGGCACACAGGGAAAGGAAAAAGAAAACCCAGGATCCTTCTACTTTTTGGTTTGGTATCAAAAGCCACCTTTTTCAGATGAGCACTGCTGGCAAGGTTCTTTGAAGAAGCCTCGCCTGAAGGCAACAGGGTGCTTCTATTTTAAGTCTGAGCGAACCCAAACCAACTAATGCAGCTGGAAGAAGGGTGCCGGTGAACCTGGACAGATCAGGGGTCTGCACACCAAGAGGAGCGAGGATGTGCTCTGGCAAGGCTGTGGGGCTGTCAACAATGGAGGGGGGCTCCCAGCCAGACAGCACAGCTGCACCTGCGAACGTGGTGCGGAGGGCACAGTGGGTGAATGCAGGCGACACTGAGGGACACCTTCTTTACTGCCTCCAAGAAAACGAAAAAGGAGCCTTTGCAGACTTTAAGGGAGCTTCCGAATTTAACTCAGGAGTTTATCCTGGTAATCTTTATTCTAAGAGTTCCAGTGCTAGTGGAGAGCCACCACTTAAGGACCGTCTCAGGACTCCCCGAGCATGTACCCTGCAGGTCACGGAGACAAGGGCTCAAAAACTCCCCGTTCCTGTGGCGCCCAGGCCCAGAGGGGCCTCCCTGTCCCCACTGGCATCCGGAGCAAAAGCACCACATGGCCTCCCAGCCTGCGATAAGCAAGGCACCTCCCCGTCCTTGTCCGTTGCCGCCGTCCACGCGTGCCCGGACACGGTTAGTGAGGGTTCGGCTGCCGGGCCGGGCAGGGCTGCAGCAAGGCCTTCCCACAGGGACAGGACACAGCCTTCGATGCACATCATGCCCTGAACATAAACCGACTTTTAAGGGGACGTGATGGAGAACAAAGCAGAATGGCAATAATAACAATGATCAAAAATTAAAAATAGGACCCAGAAATGGAGCAAAATCAGCTACAAGTTTAAAACAAACGTGCATGACTAAAACGCATGATGGCTCTTCCCGTGTCAGCCAGGATGGCTGCGTGTAGGCTTGGAGTGAGACGCCAGCAGTGCCACCTCAGTGAACCCGCCTGAGTGAAGCCAGGGGTCACTCTTCTGCCGAGAAGTCAGTGCCTCCTTCACTGGCCCCAAACTTCCTGTGCTCTGTCCTCAGTCCCCTTGTGTGAAAAGTAACCACAAGGTCACAGGAGCTCTTTCTCTGTGCAAGTTCAGATTCCTCTCTCTGGCCGAACACTGCAGGGTGATGGCTGGGGGCAGGTGGTGGGAGACCCGGGCAGACTGCCTGTCACCCAAGTTCTCTGTCCTGCTGGTGTCCCTGAACAGGCCAAGCGGCCCTGGGAGGGGGTGGCCATCTCCCGATTATACACCAAGAAAGGGACCTAAATGGCACGAATAACAGACTTCCATCAGGGATACTGCAGGCAGTCAGTGTGGCCTCTTCTCACCCACTGAGCCTAGAACAGAGTTGCTTGGCAGCCCCATTAAATAGCTCACAGGCAGGAAGGGAGTGAGAGGGGCAGCCACTTCTCCCAGGTCAGGGCCTCCCAGAGGCCACACCTGGCCATGTGTGCACATACTGCCTCAAGCCAGAGTGAGGAAGGTTTTCATTATCAGAACAAGGCAGTTAAAAAGGAGACAGGTAATTTCCCCATGTGGCACATGAAAAAATCCAAAGGAACTAGTAACTACAGCCTGAGGACCAGCACTTATCTATTAAATTAAAGGGCGTGATTGAATAGCCAAAACAACCTTAAGAAAGAAGAATGGAGCTGGAGGAATCAGGCTACCTGACTTCAGACTATACTACAAAGCTACAGTAATCAAGACAGTATGGTACTGGCACAAAAAACAGACACATAGATCAATGGAACAGGATAGAAAGCCCAGAAATAAACCCATGCACCTGTGGTCAACTAATCTATGACAAAGGAGGCAAGGATATACAATGGAGAAAAAACAGTCTCTTCAATAAGTGATGCTGGGAAAACTGGACAGCTACATGTAAAAGAATGAAATTAGAACCTTCTCTAACACCATACACAAAAATAAACTCAAGGGCTTCCCTGGTGGTGCAGTGGTTAAGAATCTGCCTGCCAATGCAGGGGACACAGGTTCGAGCCCTGGTCCGGGAAGATCCCACATGCCACAGAGCAACTAAGCCCATGCGCCACAACTACTGAGTCTGCGCTCTAGAGCCCACGAGCCACAACTACTGAGCCCCCATGCCTAGAGCCTGTGCTCTGCAACAACAGAAGCCACTGCAATGAGAAACCCACGCACCGCAATGAAGAGTAGCCTCCACTAGCCGCAGCCAGAGAAAGCGTGCAAGCAGCAACGAAGACCCAACACAGCCAAAAATAAATAAAATAAATAAATTTATTTAAAATATGGCATGGCTCCCCTGGTGGCGCAGTGGTTGACAGTCCACCTGCCGACGCAGGGGACACGGGTTCGTGCCCCGGTCCAGGAAGATCCCACATGCCGTGGAGCGGCTAGGCCCGTGAGCCATGGCTGCTGAGCCTGCGCATCTGGAGCCTGTGCTCCGCAACGGGAGAGGCCACAACAGTGAGAGGCCCACGTACCGCGAAAAAAAAAAAAAAAGAAGGCATTTTTTACAGAAGTAGAACAAAAACTCTTAAAATTTGTATGGAGACACAAAAGACCCCGAATAGCCAAAGCAGTCTTGAGGGAAAAAAACGGAGCTGGAGGAATCAGACTCCCTGACTTCAGACTATACTACAAAGCTACAGTAATCAAGACAGCATGGTATTGGCACAAAAACAGAAATAAAGATAAACGGAACAGTATAGAAAGCCCAGAGATAAACCCACACACCTATGGTCAACTTCTATGACAAAGGAGGCAAGGATATACAATGGAGAAAAGACAGCCTCTTCAATAAGTGGTGCTGGGAAAACTGGACAGCTACATGTAAAAGAATGAAATTAGAACACTTCCTAACACCATGCACAAAAATAAACTCAAAATGGATTAGAGACCTAAATATAAGACCGGACACTATAAAACTCTTCGAGGAAAACATAGGCAGAACACTCTTTGACATAAATCTCAGCAAGATCTTTTCTGATCCACCTCCTAGAGTAATGAAAATAAAAACAAAAATAAACAAATGGGACCTAGTGAAACTTAAAAGCTTTTGCAAAGCAAAGGAAACTACAAACAAGACAAAAAGACAACCCTCAGAATGGGAGAAAATATTTGCAAATGAATCAACGGACAAAGGATTAATCTCCAAAATATATAAACAGCTCATGCAGCTCAATATTTAAAAAACAAACCACCCAATCCAAAAATGGGCAGAAGACCTAAATAGACATTTCTCCAAAGAAAACATACAGATGGCCAAGAAGCACATGAAAAGCTGCTCAACATCATTAATTATTAGAGAAATGCAAATCAAAACTACAATGAGGTATCACCTCACACCAGTTAGAATGGGCATCATCAGAAAATCTACAAACAACAAATGCTGGAGAGCGTGTGGAGAAAAGGGAACCCTCTTGCACTGTTGGTGGGAATGTAAATTGATACAGTCACTATGGAGAAGAGTATGGAGGTTCCTTAAAAAACTAAAAATAGAAGTACCATATGACCCAGCAATCCCACTACTGGGCATATACCCTGAGAAAACCATAATTCAAAAAGACACATTCACCCCAATGTTCACTGCAGCACTATTTATAATAGCCAGGTCATGGAAGCAACCTAAATGTCCATCGACAGACAAATGGATAAAGAAGATGTAGTACATGTATATACAATGGAATATTACTCAGCCATAAAAAGGAACGAAATTAGGTCACTTGTAGAGATGTGGATGCATCTAGAGACTGTCATACAGAGTGAAGTAAGTCAGAAAGAGAAAAACAAATGTCGTATATCAACACATACCTGTGGAACCTAGAAAAATGGTACAGATGAACCGGTTTGCAGGGCAGAAACTGAGACTCAGATGTAGAGAACAAACGTACGGACAGCAAGGTAGGAAAGCGGAGGGGGTGGTGGGGTGGTAGTGGTGGTGGTGGGATGAACTGGGAGATTGGGATTGACATATGTACACTAATATGCATAAAATAGATAACTAATTAAAACCTGCTATATAAAAAAACAAACTAAAAACTAAAAAACAAAACAAAAAAAATGGATTAAAGACCTAAATGTAAGACCAGATACTATAAAACTCCCAGAGGAAAAATAGGCAGAACATTCTTTGACATAAATCACAGCAATTTTTTTTTGGATCCATCTCCTAGAGTAATGGAAATAAAAGCAAGAATAAACAAATGGGATCTAATTAAACTCAAAAGCTTCTGCACAGCAAAGGAAACCATAAACAAAACAAAAAGACAACCAACGGACTGGGAGAAAATATTTGCAAACCATGAGACCAACAAGGAGTTAATCTCCAAAATATACAAATAGCTCATACAGCTTGATATCAAAAAAACAAACAGCCCAATCAAAAAATGGGCAGAAGACCTCAACAGACATTTCTCCAAAGACATACAGATGGCCAACAGGCACATGAAAAGATGTTCATCATCGCTAATTATGAGAGAAATGCAAATCCAAACCAGAATGAGGTATCACCTCATACTGGTCAGAATGGCCATCATCAAAAAGCCTACAAATAATAAATGCTGGAGATGATGTGGAGAAAAGGGAACCCTCCTACACTGTTGCTGGGAATGTAAATGGTGCAGCCGCTATGGAGAACAGTATGGAGGTTCCTTAAAAACTAAAAATAGAACTACCACATCATCCAGCAATCCCACTCCTGGGCATATATCCAGAGAAAACCATAATTCGAAAAGATACATGCATCCCTATGTTCATTGCAGCACTATTTACAATAGCCAAGACACGGAAGCAACCTAAATGTCCTTCGACAGAGGAATGGATAAAGAAGACATGGCACACATATACAGCGAAATATTACTCAGCCATAAGAAGGAATGAAATAATGCCATTTGTGACAACGTGGATGGACCTGGAGATTATCACACTAAGTGAAGTAAGCCAGACAGAGAAAGACAAACACCATATGATATCACTTATATGTGGAATCTTAAAAAAATGACACAAATGAGCTTATATACAAAACAGAAATAGACTCACAGACATAGAAAAAAAAATTGTTACCAAATGGGAAGTGGGGGAGGGATAAATTAGGAGTCTGGGATTGACAGACACACACTACTATATATAAAATAAATAATAAACAAGGGCCTACTGTAGAGCACAGGGAACTCTACTCAACACTCTGTAATAACCTATAATGGAAAAGAATCTCAAAAAGAATATATGTATATATACACACACACACATATATGTATAACTAGATCCCTCTCCTGCACACCTAAGACTAACACAACACTGTAAATCAACTACACTTCAATTAAAAAAAGAAACGCGCTGGTGCTTCACCGACTTCTGGGGGTTCAGCCCCAGGAACGTGGCTGCCAGCTCCCGGGCCAGTGGGCCAGGCCGCATGGTTTGGTTGTATTTGAGTCAAACTGAGGCAAAGTGGGAAACATGAGTTATCTCTTGTTGACAGGGCTACAGGTGATTTTTTAAAAATCTGTATTAATTTTTCTATATAAACATTTTAAATAAAAATAAGTCATTTTTAGTTAGTTTTTTGCTTTTTTAAATGAAACGAAACTCAGGTTTGTTTCACAGCCGCCTGAAGCAGGGTCGAGGAACCACGTGCCCCACTGCGCGGACCCGAGGCTCCCGTGGGGGTCTGCAGGAGGCTCCCCACCCGCCGGCTGATGCAGCCCCATGCTCTGGGGGTGTCCCATGCCCCTCAGTTCTTACTCTGAAGATGCTCAGACCTGCAGGAGACGGAGAGGCAGACGACACCCTCGCCAACCTGTGCCTCTTCTCCTGAGTCGCCTGCAGACGACACGGCCCTTCCCCCCACAGACGGAGCTCATGTGTCCTCAGCACAAGATGCTTCCCACGCAGCTCCCGCACTCCAATAGCGTACTCGGGGCGAAACCGGGGTGACGTTATCACGTACCCGGACATAACGTCGTGCCAGGTCAGCACGTCCTGGGCGCAGCCCTGACTTCAGTGTTCCCTACACGGCCCCCGGCGACAGGGAGCTCGTGGGATCCTAGGGCTGGGGTCCCAGACTCGCTGTCGGTGTGGATGAGGAGGGCGCCTGGGGCCCGGGGACAGCTGTGGTCAGAGGGACGTGCTCCCCCTCAGACTGGCCCTGACACAGGCGGCTCGGGCCCAGAGGAGAGCTCCCGCCGTGTCTTGGCCTGGACACGGGCCAGGCGTGGGGTTCAGCTGTGCGTCGGCTGGGGTGAGGCGCTGAACAGGGGACGGAGTCGCAGCCGCGGCCCACCCACCTCTCTCCTGGACTTCTGGGAGGTCCGCTCCAGGACATCGTCGCTGGAGATGTCCGAGTCCTCCGAGCAGCTCAGCTGGCGTCGGGGCCGCAGCTCTGCGGGGGCAGAGGCAGAGCAGGGACAGTGACCAGTGGCCACACGGGGTACTCTCCCCACTTCCACACCCACGGCAGCCCAGGGCAGGGGAGCAGAGGTGTGGTTCTCCCCGGTTTGGGTCTGTCCCGCATCCGGAGCCACGAGCCTGGATGCTGACGCACATCCGGGCGGAACTGGGCCCACACGCACCGAAGGGTCCCCGTCTGGAGCCAGCGCCCAGCCACTCACCATCAGGCCCTCCCTGGGAAGTCACAGCCCCCCGACGGCCCCCGCCCAGCTGCACGCTGGTTTCAGAAGGTCCTGGGTTTAGTTTCCTTCTCCCTAGGAAGCCCCAGGGGAGGGGGCAGCATGGGAAGTGGGTCTTTCAAGGGAGCTACAGGGGCTGGAGAGCCCGCACCGTGTGCTCTGCCCGGGAGGGGCCCCCGTGCTGCTGTACCTGCTCTCGTGACAGGAGATGCCCCCGGCTTGCCGGCGTCCACAGTGGTCCCGCTGGAAGGGGTGCTGGGGCGGGACCTGCCATCGCCCTTCTTCTTCTTGTCCTTCCTGTACCCGGAGAAGACGGACTTCCACAGGGACCTGGGCTTGGCTGCTGCTTCCTCCAGGGCGCTGGGGCTGGGCCTCTCCGGGGGCCGGCCGTCACCCTTGGGCTTCTTCTCTTTCTTGTTTCTTCTGGGGGAGAAGAGGGACGATCTCTTCTTGCTCTTCCCGCTGGAGCCCTCGGACGAGGTAACCGAGCCGTCCAGGCCCCCTGAGTCCGAGGGAGGGGACGGGACCTCCTCACTCATGGCTTTGTACGTTGGGGTGGGCTCCTCGGGGCCCTTCGGGGGCACGGCGGTGGCTCTGCGGGGTGCTGGGGTCCTGGGGGCCCTGGGGGCAGTGGCCACGGTGTCCATCTCCTTCATCCTGCTCAGCTGCCGGGCCATGGCATCCCTCAGCGCCGGGCTCCGCACTGACTTCTCCCGGGCGCGCATACGCTCAGCTGCCAGCTCCTTGGCCTCGGCGGAGACCAGCGGCAGCCCCCGCTTCTGTGGCGGGAGCCCACTCTCAGGCCCCTGGCCTCTCTCCTGGGCCAGGGGCTGCTCGGGGCAGGGCCAGCGGGAGGGGGGCGTGAAGAAGGGCTCCTGCAGACTCGAGTCTTCCGTGCGGTCGTCATACGTGTCCTCCACATCGTCCGCAAAGGGGATCTCGTCCACGCTCTCCACAAATGGCTTCGGTGCCTCCTCCGGGGGCGGCCGGGTGGGCTCCCGCGGGGTCCGCACGCACGCGGCCGGTGCTCGGGACTCCGAGGCTGTGAGCTGCCCCGCCAGGGCCGGCTTCCCGTGAAGGGTGGCGGGCTCTTCGTCGGGAGGCGGGGGCGGCGGGCTGGAGGGGGGCGTGAGCATGGTGGAGTCGGAGGTGCTGAAGCTCTGGCTGCCGGGCGTCCTGGTGCGGGAGGAGCTGCCCTGCAGGCCCAGCCCCGAGCTGCTGGACAGGTCTCTGTGCTCCGCCCGGGCGCCCTTCGGCTCCCTGCCAGGTGGGGACCCCGGGGTGGGCGGGGAGGGCTGGGTCCCCCTGGCGGCAGGCGGCCCCAGCCTCCCGGGGACAGGTGTGGGTTTCAGAAGCCAGGGTCCCTCGCCCTGGGGGAGCTTCTCAGCTCGACAGGCCTGCAGGGGCGCGGGCTGGAACGCGGGCTCGGGTCCAGGGCCCCGTCGCACGGGCATGAGCCCCAGGCTGCGGCGGATCTCTGCGCTCTTCATCCAGAACTCTGCCACCAGGTCGCTGCGTCTCAGGGCCTCGTCCCCAGGGAGGGGGCTGCCCAGTGTGTCCTTGGTGACCCCCTGGCTCTTCACGGGGAGGGGGGCCAGGGGGGTGGAGGTTCTGGCCGGCACAGGCTGGAAGCGGATGGGGGACACGGTGGGGGACGGCACGGTGGCCTCGGCAGACGGCTGAGGCTGGGAGCAGATGGGGAGGGGGGCCAGCGGGGACCGGCGCTGTGGGCTTGCAGGTGAGGGCGGCGTCCTGGCTTCAGGCTGCGATTGGACGGGGGTGCCGGCTGTGGGCTCCCCATGGGCGAGCTCTGGCTCTGGCTCTGGCACAGGGCTCTCCGCGGGCAACCCCCTCATGGCGGCTGCAGAGGCGCGCGGGGCTCGGGTGCCCTGTGGGAAAGCAAGGTGACAGGAGCTGCTTAGAAGGCAGGGCTCTGATGGGCACGCTCTCCCGCCAAGGGCCTGAGCTTCCTGAAACACCCTCTCCATGCGGAGGGCCACGATCAAGGGCCAGGAGAACACCCCCCCGTTTTGATCCGTCTGTCAAGCTTCAGAGCCCCTCACCCAGTGAACATGTGAAGCTTTCAGGTTTGGTTCACCCCAAACGCATCTGGTTCTTTGGGCCCTGAACTGACACCAGCCAAAGGATGCTAACGACCAGCCCCAGAGCTCCGAGGTCTCTGACGTAAGACTTAAAACAGCATCAATCGCAGTCTGCCTCCCGGACTGTCCTTCCCGCCACGCCCCGGCCTCATTGCAGATGAAACCCCCCAAATCACCTTGCTCCTCAGGACCCCAAAGACCAAGCCAAGTAGCCCCAGGCCTCAAGCTCCGGCCGTCCTCTAAATGGCCTCCCCTAAAACGTGCTCCACAGGACACAGTGTTACTATCTATTTATGGAGCATCCTGCAGTGCGTAGTTCAAAGACCACTGGTCACCTGGACAAGTATTTTTAATTTAGAAAATCATACATTCATTTTAGCATAATATTGAGAAAAAACACATCTGTTGTATCAAACCAGTAATCCCACAAATATTACTGTTTTAACTTAAAAATAAATTTATGTTAAAACGGTATGCTGTATGGACACACAGAGAACAGTAGTGGGAAGCTCAGCGGTGGGATTGGCGCACAGCAGGCCACACTGGGCCGGAGCCCCAGGGCCACTCCTGTTTTCAACAGCCCATCAGCACAGGGAATAAAAAAACTGGGTTCACACCAAGGCCCCTAAGGAGTCCCATCAGCTCTGCCTCCAAAGTGGGCCCCAAATCCTTACCTGTGCCCTGGGGCTGTGGGCTGGGGAGGACAAGACCGAGTGCTCCTCAGGGGACCGGCTGGGGCTGGAGACTTGGGAGCGACCTGAGAAAACAGACGCAGGATTTGCAAGAGGAAACACCCGCTTGCACTGCAGCGGGGCTGCTCCCAGGGCGTCCCGGCCTCGGCCATGTCACCAGTGTAGGATTTGCATCCAAAGGTCCAAAGGTGAGCTGCACAGGTGCCACAGGAGAAGGGGTCGTGCAGGGAGGGGAGGGCAGAGGCTCGCACACAGACCTCTCTCTGGGCGCCTTGCCAAGGCCGCCGGTGGCTCCTCCTCGCCTTCAGACACCCGCAGCTCCAGTCCCACTCCCGCCGCCACCTGCTGCAGCTCCGTGTTGGTCTCTGACGGCACGTCGTCCGACCAGTGCTGACCTGCCGAGGGAAGTGAGCACAGACCTCAAGTGAGGCTGTGTTCCTTGCCAGGCTCCCGGCTCCTCAGAGGACAGCCGCCAGGCCACTAACTGCAGCGTGAGGTCCAGCCGGCTCTGCATCCCGGCCAGGCGCTGCCCGCTGGTCCCCCTCCTGAGACTCGTCCATCAACACAGCATCCTCTGTGACGCGGAGCCCCAGGACGCCCGTGGCACCTCCTCTCTTTTGAGGGTGCAGGCCTTCCTGAGCACACGGACGGCTCCACAGGAAGGACCAGCCTCGGGGACTCGGAGCCCTCCCGGCCCAGCCCCGCCCGTTCTCACCTCCCAGCCCAGTCCCTGCCCCTCCCCCTCAACGCCATCTCCTCCTCGTACCAGCTTCCAGAGGCAGCAGCTGGATTAAAGGCCTCGTAGGAAGCCCTGAATCTGCTCGGTTTCTCCCCAAGACTTAACGAGCGCAGCCCACGTCCAAAGGGTGGGTGAAACGACACATCTTCAGATTAGTGGCAGAACAAGGAAGGAACCAGGAGCCCTAATGGCCGCTCCTCTGAGCACCTCACTTTCGTCTTAATGTGTGTTCCGTCTTCCCTGAGCTCAGACCACTGCGGGCCCCTCCCCGGGAGGAAGGAGGCGGGCACCACGGTTGGGGGAGGCTCTGGGGTCCCCGTACCATCGCCCAGCTCTGCACCAGTGTCCCCCGTGTCCCCATTCTCCGCTGCCTCGCCTTCTATCTCTGCTGGCTCTGAGTCCACATCTTCCTCCAGGTCGTCCTCGTCAAACGGGACTGCAAGGCAGAGATGTTCAAAGGAAGGAAGAGGAGAGAGACGGACAGACAGACGACAGACATGTGGGCAGGGGGCTCCCAGGGCTGTCATGTGACGACCGCAAGGAGGAGAGGGGAGAAGCCTGCCTGGGTGGGGGTCGGTGGGCCGGGAGGGCTCTGAGGGCAGGGCGGGGCCTCCTGAACACGGATCAGGAAGGTACCCAGCTGCAAACGTGGCAGCGGGGCCCTGCACCCACCGCAGCGTGCACGAGCCGCTTAACCCTCGAGGGGGCCGCTAACCCTGCCTTTCAGGGAAGACACGGAGCCCAGGCAGCTGGGGGATCTGTTTGCAGCCCCACCGCTCAGCCTGGCACCAGTGCCGTGTGCAGGGGGGTGACCGACCGGCAGGGCTGCAGCCCCGCTTGGGAGAATTTAGACATGTACTTTTTTTAAGCGTAAGAGAGGGACAAGGGGACGTGGAAAGTTCGTTTTTTTGGACTCAAGACCAGCCCTTCAGCACCGCAAAATGCGGCAAAGCTTCATTTCTCCTGAGCAAGGAGGCTAACGTACACACTCACACACACACACACACACACACACACTCACACCTGTTCCTAACCCTGCACAAGAACTCAGACTACAGTTCAGGTTACAAGAAGGCAGCAGGAAGCAGCCACAGACGCATTGCGCTGCCTGGACCAGGGGTCCCTCCTCCTGGGGTGCCCTGGGGGCTCTTCTCGGGTCTCCTTTCAGGAAAGGGGCTGGCCTTTGACCCGCACATACTTGGCCTCAGGGTCAAGCCCGGCAGGCTGGGCAGCAGAGGAGCCCGCTGAAACACAAGGCCAGGCCAAAGGACCATGAGACCCTCGATGGCCAGCAGCCCAGCCTCGTGAAGCCGCATCCCCGGCGCCCGGGGCTGTGCAGTACCCAGCAGTGACCGTGAGTGGCCACAGGGTCAGAGCACAAGGAAACTGGGGACAAGACAGCCGTGATGGCCTGGAGGTGGGCACCTCTAGGTGCTAGGAATGTATTTCTTGACCCAGGTGGCATGTGGGTGAGTCTTGGTGTTTTTAAATAATTCCTTAAGCTGTTACTTATCCTCACCACCCCTCCTGTGCACTCGGCTTATTAAGACGAGGTGATGGTGCACACCTGCTCGGGAGAGTGCTATGAAATCGGTGTGGGATGGACGAGGCAGGGCCAGGACGCCCTCCTGTGACGATGGCATTTGCCAGGACCAGTCCTGGGGAGAGCGCTCAGCTACTTCCACAGACTGAGACCTCTGTGCGCCAGCACTGCTGCTCACTCATCACACACCAGCGGAGGGGACTTCTGAGGCAAATAAGCCTCTCCTCCCGGTGCTTCCCGTGGGACAGCGAGCTGGCCGCTGATGGGGACAGAACCCGGGCCCACCCCACGGCGGGCGCCCGCCGGGCCCACACGCGTGCTACAATTAGTCTGTGAGTGACCGGGCATCGAGAGGCAATTTTACACATTTGTGTTGGCAAGTCCGTTGGAAGCAAGAGTGACACGGACTCCCCAGCCTGGCGTGGCTCCAGACACAGGACACTAGAGCAGCCCAAGCCCAGACCTGGCCCTGCGGCCCCCAGCGGTTCTCCTACTCAGAGAAACATCTGCGCAGACTCGGGGTTAGGAGTCTACGGTCCTCAGCGGCACCCTGAAAGGAATGACTGTCACACGTATCAAAATACACGACAAGCATCAATGCAGCAGCAGCAACGCTGAAAGAGACATAGCTTGAGGGAGGGAACTGGGGGTTAATCCAAGTTAGGATGGAGCGGGTGCTAGAAGCAGCCACACACAAGGAAGCAGGCGGCGCCGACACGCTCAGCTCTGGTCTATTCAGCGGCCGCTGGGGCGTCCCGATACCTCAGCCTCGTCCAACCGTCCTGGGGACAAAACTAACTAGAAGAGGGTGACCGTAGCCCTCTCTACAGCTCGGCGTGAAGGTGCCTCCTGACCTGTGAGCCGAGGAGGATAACGGGCGGCTGGCAGGCGGCTGGTGGGGCAACCAGCCCTTCTGCATTTCACAACTGGTGGGGGCCAAGGTTGTCCCACGTCCTGCCCGGATGCCAGAGCCCCTCACTGAGAAACGCCCCCCCCCGCCGAAAAGTGCACTGAGGACAAGCAAGGTCTCTCGGCTCCCTCGTGGCCTGAGAGCTTGCAGAGAGCCCTGCACCTCGGCCTGCAGACCCAGCCTGGCCCTCACCCCAGTACTGACTGCCTCAGTCGTGGCACCACAGGAGCGTTACTGACTGTTGCGAGAATCCTCCAGCCCACACCCAGCCACTGTCCAGCCTCATTTCTGCGGACTCTGAGCCTCAGTGCTGTGCACAGTCCTTCGGCTTCGGTTTCACTCTATGTCTGCTAACAAAACGACACCCACCCCCGCCCGACTGCACTACTGCTCTGCTCTGGTTTTCCCAGGAGGGCGCGTGGCGTGTCTGGTCCATGCAAGGGCGGCGGCCTGAGCGAGGCATGCACGTGCCCCCGCCCTCCGCCGCGCATGCACTAGCGGCAGCACTGGAAGTCCAGAGTTAAGGGACCGGCAGAGCTGCCAAGAGAGTGGTTACAGTGAGCGGGCAGAGAACGAACATCACCCAACAACCTCCGGAGACCGACTCCAGCCAGGCCTGCACTGCTGCACGGCGAACGGAGGGAAGGTCGGGCCCTGAATTTGAAACAGACGATAAATACAAAGTTACACGGGAGTAAGCGTTCCCGGCGAGGAGAGCGGAGGTCCTCCTGTGGTCCACACGGAAGAGAGACGGACAACGTTACAGCCCGAGGCCCGTCCGGCCCCGACCAGGGGCAAGCGGGGTGTCGGGACAGGGAGAGGAGAGAGAGCACGGGAGGGTCAAGGGGGCGTCCCCGGTCAGCAGGCTCTCTCTCTCGGCTCCTGCAGAGCTGTTGGGTGTTTACGCGGCCGCAAACGTGGTTAAAGAGGTGGGCCTTGCCTGCGGCGAAGGTGGCTAACTCCCATGAAGGCCGGGCCACCCACTCTGCGCCCTTGGCACCCTGCAGGCTGTGTCCCCAACAGGCACCGAGTGCAAATGTGGAGACAGGTGAGCAAGAGACAGAGGACGAAGCACCAAGGCGGGCACGGTCTCCAGGTTTTCCTTTCCTTCCTTCAAAGAAGCCAGAGCAAGGTTCATCATCGTCCTGCCGTGGGATGCAGAGCACCTCCCCTAAAACCTAGAGCTGGTAAAGATGCTCCTTCAGAGGCCTCCTGGATATAAACTGCTTCTTAAAACTTTATTTCAGTCCAAGATATGGTCCCTTGACCCCATCCTGTCCGTGCACACTCACACCGAGACACACCGCATGAGGAAACGCACAGGACATTCCTCCAAGTGGAGAAGGAAGAACCCTGCCTAGTGACGTGGGCAACGTCAGCAAATTCTTGGTTTTCCCAACATCAAGTTCACTGTTTCGCGTCAGCGGACAACAGCCCACCTCTTACCCACCGAGACTTCACATATCCTCTGACGAGAGCCCAGGGAGCAGACATGCTCCGCTGGCTCTTACTTGTGAGGAGCCTGGGGGCCCCGCCCTACAGGAGAGTCCCCGGCAGCCCGAGGGGAAGCGGGACAGAGGTGCCAGGCACCCTGCACCTGGAGGAGTTACCTCTGGAAGGAGGGGACTCAGAGGCTGGTGACACTTGCTCCTCCTGGCTCTCACGGATGTGCGTCCAGTGCACGTCAGCCTGGATCTCCAAGGGATCGGCTGGATTTACGAGCTGCTGCAGCCTTGGGCTCCCAGCTAGTGTACCAGGTTCGAGGGGCAGAGGAGATGAGGAAGGGAGAGATGACGGGAAGGAAGGAAGCAGAAAGTAAACAGGCCAGGGAAGGAAGGATCAAACACCACAGGAGAGGAAACAGAAGGAAAAGTTACCATACTTGCCAGGATCAGTTTGAATCAGAAAGAGGCAAGGATTGAGAATAAGCACACGCACACACACGTGCACACGCACACACGCCCGACTTCTACTCGTTCAACTTGATTTAGTCCCTTCAAGCCTCATGCAGCTGTCAATGTGGATGAAGAGAGTCCTACACTCCCCTCCGATGCAGAAAGTACCTTCCTTTCTGAAGCTCTTTTCATCTTAACTGCGTCTGAGGGACCCAAGTGCCCAGTTAGGAGAAAAGAGCGGGTCACAACTGGCCTCTGCAGGGCCAGCCTCCCAAGGTCCCAAGTACGTGGCTCTGTTGGCCACACAGCCCATGCCTATGGCCCCCTGCCGCGTGGACACAGAGGTGGGGCGGGACAGGGCAGCCGGCTCACGTGGGGCAGACAGTGACGCTGCTGGGATTCTAGTTTTTATCTTCTGCAGCTAAAGAGAAAAACATCCCCTTCTACAATGGGCCTCATGCAGCATATGCTGGGCTGAGGCGGGCGTGGGCTCAGAGAAGGCTGCGGTGGGGAGGAAGCGGAGTCTGTCCTGCAGACCCCAGAGCACTGGGAGTTCACGGGAACAAGAAGTAAACCCCTCTTTGCCCTTTCTGAGGTCAAAGCCCTCTTCCCGAACACGATACTGGTGCCCCGCTGACCCACCCCTGGACGTAAGACTCGGCTTCTTAGCCAGGTGAGAACTCACCAGGGGCCCCGCTGACCCACCCCTGGACGTAAGACTCGGCTTCTTAGCCAGGTGAGAACTCACCAGGGACCCCGCTGACCCATCCCTGGACGTAAGACTCGGCTTCTTAGCCAGGTGAGAACTCACCAGGGGCCCCGCTGATCCACCCCTGGACGTAAGGCTCGGCTTCTTAGCCAGGTGAGAACTCACCAGGGGCCCCGCCTTCAGGCTGTTCTTGCTCTCGGGGGCCCAAGGAATCTGCATGCACCCCTGCCCCGAGGGCTCCCATAATCAGTGCTTGGACCATGCCATACAGTTGGGTTAAAATAAGGGACAGCCAGCAACTTGGGGGAGGGGACCCTACAGGAGGGAGGGTGGCTTCTCGGGCAGCAAAAGCAGGTACCACCTGATCAGAAGGACTCTCTACGGTCTAACTGGGCAACCTGGCTTTGGCTTTGGCTTCATCATGAAAACGACAACCTCCTAATCTCCAAGCAACAGGGAACGTGACGTGGGAAGAACTCACCGCTAAGGCCACCGAACGTGGATGGGGGCTGTGCTGGGCGTGGGGTCGCAGCCCGTGTGCTCTCTTGGGAGCCACTGGCCTCTAAGCGCTTCCTCTAGGGTCGAGGGGCATTGGTGGTGCTGGACGGGGCTGAGTCACAGCAGCCACCAGAGAGCCCGACTGTCTTCGGACCAAGATATTAAGTCAAGGAGGAAACGCAGGCCCCTTCTCCACCTTCCAGGCAAGCAGGGGAAGACAACGAGCCTTCTCCCTGGGGCGCGCCTGCGTGTCACCAGTGCATGCAGCCTTGGGGACTCATCGCCCAGGCACAGGGGAGGGGCTCCGGGCGCCTGTGCTGGCCCCGCCACTTCTGAGAGTTGACTGCGACGTGGGGTGCTCGGCTCACATCAGAGGAGGAGCTGAGTCGTAACCGGATGAGGGACTGGCAGCAAATGGTCAAGGGGCACAGGGGCACCCAGGGGTGGATGCCTCGCCCGCCACTGCAGCTCTAGGAAACCCCGTCTCTCCACAGGGGACCTGCTCTCGGGGGCGGCTGGACGGCTGCCAGGGGCCGGGGTGGAGGTGGGCAGAGGTACCTTCACGTGTACCCATGTCCTCTTCCTCTGGCAGGTGCCCCAGTGGCTGGCCTTGCAGGAGTTCTCTGTCCCGGGGCCAGTACTCTCCTTCCACACCCACAGCAAAGCACCGCGTGGGGGCAGACAGGGAGGAGAGGACAGAGAGAAGAGTCATCCCCAGGTTCCTCCACTCCAAGCCCGTTCCCGCAGGCTGGAGCCGGACGCTACTTCCACATCCAGGAGATCAGGTCTCGGGAGGGAAGCAGGGCCAAGCTTTCCTGAATAGGGGGCACCACGCCCCGACCCCTGGCTGTGTCCCCTGGGGCGGGCCGTGCACGCGATCCCCACTGACTCACGCCGGGGCACTCGGCTCTACAGACACAGCCGGCGGAGGAAGCAGCCCGGACGCCATCCACCCACTCCTCACACGAGGGCAGTGTGCAGGCCCCACGTGCTGCCTTGGGGTCCCACCCAAACCTCCGGGTGGGAGGGAGGCCTACACAGCAGGACCGGGGCCACGGGGGCTCCAGGAGCCCGAGGGAGGCCCCACCTCTGCCGCCTGACCTCGTCAGGGCCGCCAGCTCGGGGCTCCACTGCCAGCTGAGGACCACGGGTAACGCGCACCCTGCCCGGTCAGCGCCTGGCCCTCACTGAGCTGGAGCGAACGAGCCCGGGCTGGGACTGGCCGCCGAGCACAGGAAACTCCAGGAGGAACAGAGAGATAGGCCTGCAAGGCGCAGAGCCCTCCAGGGCCAGCCCCACGGACCAGGCTCCTTGGCTAACGGCTCACGTCCTCCTCATCCTGCCCACACCCCACACGGAAAGCACGGCCTAAGCAGACACGAGTTCCCGCGGACTCAGGGCTCTGCCTGCCTGGCCCTGCTCACCACTCCAGGCCCGGTGCAGCCGGGACAGGGAGAATGACCCCCCGACAAAGGCCAGAGAAGGAGCCCAGGAAGCTCTTCCTCACCACCCGGGATCACACAGGCGGACGGGGCAGGACCCAACACCTCGAGTGCGAGACGAGGCATCTCAGAGCCAGCCCGACTGACCTACCAGGACACGGGTCCCAGCACGTCACCACGCACCACCGGTGACCCCTCCTGGGGGTCCCTCCCTCCTCAATGCTCGGCAGCCTCCGACGTCCAGGACCAGGAGCCAGGGAACCCCCAGAAAGCTAAGTTCCCTTCGTTCCTTTAGCTGGAACAGGACAGGACGAGTGGCCTGACCTGGAGGAGGCCCTCATCTGCCTCTGCGTGCAGCTCTACCCAGACAGCCCTTCATGGGTCCCCTGGGGCCTGTGGAAGGCATGTCACGTGACCCCGGCCACAGAAGCCTCCCACACGCGGGTCAGGTCGGGAGAAGAGGCTTTACTCTGACCTTCACTAGACGCGTCCTCCTCGTCTTCCTCGTCCTCCTCGTCCTCCTCGTCCCCCGCGTCCTCCGCGTCCTCCTCCCCAGCCACGAAGCTCCTGGAGGCCTCGAGCTCCTCTTCACTCCTTCCTTTCAGAAGAGCGTGGATCCTCACGGCCTCCTTCCAGGGAACGCCGCCCAGGTCCGAGGGGGGCAGTGGGGGTTCCTCCTCCTCCATCTCGGACTCAGAACTGCTGCAGAAGTGACCACAGAACCCAGTGAGGGGGCCACAGAACGGAGAAGGGGGTGGCTCAAAGCCAGGGGCACAGGCAGAGGCTCCCAGCAAGGCACCCACCGGGCGGGAAGGGAGGGACGACACCTTGGGGCCAGCGCACAGAGGGTGAATGGAGGGCGAGATGGGTCACACGGGCCGGGGCAGCCCCGCCAAGCACAGGCTCGAAGCTCGTGACCCTGGGGACCGAGGGTGAAGAGCACCTCTGCTCCCGTGGACGCACCATCTCGTTGGAGGATCCCGGGTGGGAAGAAGGGCCGCCGGCAGGAAGCGGGCTGGCGGAGGTGCTGCTCGCAGGAAAGGGAGCCCCAGGCCCCGCTCCCAAACCCCACAGTGCAGTGTGCGGCGCTGCGGGTGAGGGCGCCTGGACAAGCCCCCACCCTGCGGAGGGGTGCTCGCTGCACGAGGGCCCCGACGCCTGCTCCCGGGGCTAAGAGCGCCCGCCTTGCTCAGAGGGCCTGGCCCAGCCGCCCGTGTCTGGAGGAGACCCTAAGCCCCGGGATGCCCTGCCTGATGGGGAGGCCTGACTCCCTGGGGCCTCCAGTCAGGATGGAGAGTCTAAGAACGTGGTTTGGGGTGAAGGCCTTGGGTCACCAGCGTCAGCCGACCCGGAGACCAGGCTCAACCACATTCCACAGGGAATGGGGACCTCAAGGCTCTGTGGGTGTCGTCACATATTAACACCAGGAGAGTGGCTCTGCCTGAGCCCGCAGGGACGGGAGCCGCCCTTCTCAGACTGGCCTCCGCGCTCCGCTCCGTAACGGAGAAGGGCCGTGAGCACAGCCCCGCCAGTGGGTTCTGTCCTGTAACCTTTCTAGAAAATTACTGTACCCGAGGGTGGCGCTGGGGACTCCATCACTTTCACTGAGTCAGAGGTGAGGGTGGCCTCCCGGGCTGTGTCCCTCGACCCCTCACTGGGCCGCAGGGCTCTGCCACGACAGCTGTGTGACCATGAGCTGGCTGGTCATGCTCTCCAAGCCTGTGTCCACGCCGGGAAGGGGGTGTGAACACTGGCTTGTAGCGGGTGCCCCTAGTGGAGTGAGACTTTACTGACCGCGTCACGCTTGTGCTACACTCCGGTCCTCCAGCCATCCGTTCGCTTGTTTACACATTTACAAACTCGTTCATGCGTGTACTCCGCAGGCGTTTCTGAGCGCCTACTGAAGCCCAGCCGCTGACCTCAGAAAGAAAGAGCGGCTCCTCACTGCCGGCAGCTCAGTCTGGCGACTCCTGCTCCACTCGTTCATTCAACTACAATTTACTGAGTGTCTCTGCCCACGGTGCCCTTCCTAGACGTCACAAAGCTGCCACAGAAAAGATCTTCAGTGTCAGGGGAGATAAGATGCGAACACCAGGACTAGACAAGGTGGCCGGTAAATGCAGGGCGGTGGGGGCAGTTTCAAGTGGGAAGACATAAGAATGTGGACCACAGAAAGCTTCTCCTCTGGAGTTTGTTAGCCCTCAGTGTTTACTTAGCCATGATTTTTGCCTTATCGTTGTGATTTCACTTCTTTACACTTATTAACTAACGACAACGTGTGAGCCCGTGTGTGTCATTTAACATCTTTCAAACGTGAAATCAGGGTAAGAATGCCTCCTGTGCTCAGCTCTAACCTCAGGTCGATTTGCAACACTTCAGGTGGACAGGGAGGCCAGCCTGCCCTCCTTCATGCCAGGCGCACTGGGGCCCCAGCTGTCGGCGGGCAGCTCTCTGGGGGGTGGGCTCAGGGCAGCCCCTCCCCGTGCCGTGTCATGAGGGCAGCTTGCGTGATGAGGCCCCACTTGAAGCTGTGACAGCTCAAGGACCACGGAGAATAGCAAGGGAGGCACAGAGCATAAAAACAGGGCGGAAGGTCAACCATGCTTCTGGAGTGCCACGCGCTTCTAGAGATGGGACACAGGCAAGCCACCCTGCCTGCCTGCCTGCCTTGGTGAAAGAGAGAGAGATAGACAGGTACTGCCAGCTGCTCCTCTCCAGGCATCACCGTCCACGGGCCCTCAGAGCAGGCCTCCGGGTCTGGCTAGGCTCCTCACGTCATGTCAGATTCGCAGTGTGAAGTCACTACTCAAGGTTCATCTTATGATATATTCTTGGGCTGCTCCCAGCGCCTGAATCTCTGGGTCTGGCCTTTGAGGGGCAGGAGGAAGGATCTGTGTGAGGCACATTCCCTGCCTGGACTACAGCCTGGAACACTTCCAGGGGGCAGAACCCCTACAGCAGAACAAAACACAAGACAACCGACTTCCCTGTCCTTTAGGGAGGAGAGGAAGACCACAGGACACAGCCTCCCAGGAGACACAGAGCCAGAAAGTGTAGTCGTTAAGAATAGCTTTCCACGACAGCAGGGATCTGCTTCCACACTTGTAACTCCATCCTGCCCCGTGTGGCTATTCGATCCAGGTAGCCTCCCAGGCCACACCCTCTCTTATCGCTTGCCTAGCACTGCCGAGATGGGCAAAAGCAGACGAGGGACGCAACCAGGAAGGCCAGGCAGGCTGCACCTGCGTTCACAGGGTGGGAGGTGGCCCCTGTGAAGCCCCTCAGCAAAGCCCATCGGCAGAGCTGACACGTCCTGCTGGAACCACGGAGCGAAAGCCTCCCCGCTGGGTGTGTCCGAATCACTCCTCTCACAGCGCCTTCCCCGAACCTCTCCAGGCGCCGTCTTCTCACCGAGCCCACGGTGGGCTGGCAGGAGGACACAAAGTCAACGGACCAGCTTCTCAAGGGACAAGGTCTGCTCCAGACTTAAAAGAGCCAGCAGAGGAGCAGATCCAGAGAAGAGGACGTGCTTGAAGCACGAGGCACTTCACATGGATCAGCTCAACTGATCACACAGTAGCTCAAGGGCACAGCCACTGTTATCATCCCCGTTCCCACAAATGAGGAAGCCGGGCTTCCAGAGGTGGGATGGTCTGGGTGAGAAGTCAGGAACCCCCAGCGTCCGCCCACATCAGGTCACCCCGTCAAACCCAGGAGGAAGGTCACGACCCGGTTCCTGGCTGCCGCGTCGACCTGGGAACTCGGGCAGCCGCCGCGGATGGACACCACCTGAAGCTGCTGATGGCTTCCCTTTTAAGCTAACCCGCTAGTAATCAGAGCGTCTCCGAGCAATGCCCCGTCCTGCGCAGCGAGACAAGGTCCCACCCACCCTGCCAAGCCTGTAAGCACTGAGCCGCCTGTGGAGGAGACCTGCCGGGTCCTGCGATCTGAACGCGGTGGAGACCACTCCGCGCTCAGGCCGGCACCCTGCGGGTGGAGGGTGAGAAGGGGAGCAGTCAGGTGTGCCTCGCAGGAGGGGCTGTTCCTCACACTGTCACCCTTTGGGCTGGCCTGTCTCCTGTGACCTTCAGGGAGTCCTCTGCAGCCCTGGCTGCCCGTCTGGGAAGCACACCTGGGCTCCGGCCCTCCCCGACACAGGAAGGAGAAAACACACGGAAACCAGACCAGCCTTCTCCTGCCCCAGCACCCAGGCTCTCCCAGAGAAAATGCAAGCACTGTTTCCCGGGTCCCCTCTGGAAGATGCTCCTTCCCCCCGTCCAAGGAAGGTCATGGAGCTGATGAGGCCTCGGTCGAGATGCTCTGCTGGTGTGAAGGAAACCGCAAAGATGATGGGAATCGCCTGGGTATCTGTCAAAACAGGTGTTCCTGGTCTCCACCCCACGCCCACCGAGTGAGATGCTGGCAGGAGCGGGGCCAGGAATTATCCTTCGACCAAGTGTCGCACGTGTCGCATTAGGGACATCTGAGAAATTTAGAGCAGTGGTTCTCACAGCGTGGTCTCCAGACCACAGCACCAGCCGGGAACTTCTGAGACATGCAGATCATGGGCTCTACCCCAGACGGACTGGGACAGAAACCTCCCAGCTGTCTGTGCTCTCACGGGGCCGGCGGGTGATTTTGATGCAGGCGAAGCTTGGTCACCACTGCCCCAGGGCAAATTCGAGGCAAGCCCGATTTCTGGCACTTAAACCACCTGTTCAAGGAAACCCCAACAGGAATCACCACCCTGCCGCTCCTAGTGAGGGTTGCCTGGGCTGTGCTTGGATCCACAGGTAAGACAGTGATTACAGCAACTGCCCACCGGGTGCAGACACTGTGCCCACGACTTTATTTGGTTTAATGCTCAAAGCAAACCTCTGAAGCGCAGTGTCCTTGCAGATGAGGAAAGGAGGGCGAGAGAGCGTAAGAAACTTGCCCCCAACTAGCAGAAGGTGGAGCTAGGCCTCAGGTCTGGGTTGTCTGCCTGCAAAGTCACGTCCCAACAGCACCCCGCGCTCTGCCCGCACCGCAGGCGCCCGAGGTAAGAGGAGAGTGAATCCCCGCTTGGACCGGTCAGTTCCTGGAAACTCTGTCATCTCTCATCTTCAAGTCCGATGACTCCCCAAGGAAGGATGGAGGCATCTTACGGCTTCCTTGGGGAAATGAGCTCTGGCGCCGCACTCTTACGAGACCATCGTTACACTTTACATAGCATCCACGCTTAGCGCTTTTTCAAATGGGAACTTGAGTACAATGGGGCATTTACTACACCACTGGGTGCTGACTGACCTATCCTTCTACCTCACCTGCTGCGAAGGCTGTGACTCAGCCTTCCTGCAAAGCCCAGGCTACATCACCTCCACTCCTGCCCCATAATCCCTCGGTTTACAGATCACAGTGCAGGAAATGTTATTCCTGCAGGACAGGGTCTGCCCATGTCACCGAGCCCAGCCCTCCACTCCGCCCCACCTCAGGAGCGCTGCGTCCTGAGGGCGCTGGTTGGGGAGGCTCTGCAAGGGGGGCTGCAGGGGGTCCGCCTGTCCTGACTCCACTCCACCTGCCTGTCCTGTTCTCTTCCAGCCTGTTCACTGCTGAGCCCTGACTTGGGCACTAACCCCACTGACTCAGGCAGGCCTGCAGGTGGCGGGAATGCGCGGACAAGGACAGAGATGAGGGGGTGTGTGGGGCACTTTCCCCAAAGGTGCACGCGGCTCAGCCGGCCGGCACCACGCACTGCGAGGGGCCCTGGGATGCAGGTTTCTGCTTCTTTCCACACACAAGAGAAAGAAAGAAGCCCAGAGAGATGAGACAGCTTCCCCAAGACTGCACGGCGACCCGGTGGCTGAGTCACCCCAGAGCCTCCATGGAACCCACCCCCAGGGGCACGGTCGCCACCCCCACCCTGTGGAAGCCCCTCCCCCGACACATCTGTAAACACCAGCCCAGGGCACATTTTTTCTGTTCCTTTTCAATGAAAAGCAGGGTTAAGGTCTTGGTAGGCGCTCAGTAAGTACTGAATCTCTGAATTAAGTCAAACAAACTGGTCCTTTCTGACTAACGAGACGGGGAGTTGGGGCACCAGGCGGCAGGGAACATGGAGAGCCCTGGATGTGGACCAGAGACCCTGGGCTTGAACCTCAGTCAACCCTCCATCCTGGTCCTGGTCACCATCGCTTTCCTTACCACGAGGGGGCAAGATGCACATCCTATATATTTCACAGGCCCCGGAGGACAACCAGCTGAGGAGTTGGACGCTGGAGTCCGCAGCCAACGCCTACAAGCACCTACACGTGCCCAGCTCTGTCCCAAGCACCTTCCACCCGGGGACCCTCGCACAACTCTGCAGGAGGCCCTGGCGCTGCCGCCCCTCACACGGACGAGGGGACAGGCAGAGAGGTCACACGACCGCCCAGTCACGGGTCACGACGCAAACCCAGGCCGTCGGGCTCAGGGCCCCGCTCCCCTGCCCGTCACAGACGCAGCCCCACAGGCTGACCTGCTGGCCGCGTCCTCCTCCGTCCCCGTGTCCAGCACACTGCTCAGGTTGTGCTCGGCCTGCGTCTCTTCGGGCACCTCCTCCAGCCCCTCCGCCTGCCGCACCGACAGGCGGTAGTTCTCCAGCTCAATCCTCTCCGGGGTGCCCCGCAGCCTCTTAGCGATGCTGGGCTCCTCCAGGCCGTTCATGCTCGGGCCTGCACGACAAGCAAGAAGCAAAGTTCTGGGATCAGCGACAGGGACGAGGGAAGGAACTTCTCCCTGGAAGGAGGGGCAGCCGTCCCACGAGGCCAGGGAGCCGGACACGGCAGCAGTCAACAAGGTCGGGCCCCGGAGAGCCCAGAGGTCTCTGGTGTGAGGGGGCAGAAGACAAAAGACCCCACATCTGCCTTACAGGGACGCGACAGCCTGGGGAGCAGTGCACACTGGCCAGGGGGCAGGGGCAGGACTGGCCCTCAAGGGAAAGCAGCCTGTTGAGAAGGGAGTCCTCTCTGCTGCCCCGCCCCCTCGGTCCAAGACCTGCTGCCCCCCGACAAAGTCGCCATCACGCACCCCTCACCTCCCCCATCTCCATCGTTACCCTTCCTAATACACCTTGTGACCCCACGTTTGGGCAGAAGAGGCCCACCGACCACTCTCCTGTGTCCACTGTGACAGGACGTCACATGTGGTGCAGAGTCAGACAGACCCGCTGAGACAATGGACTCCGCCAGTGACCAGCTGAAGGACCTTAGGAAAATCACACAACCACTGAGAGCTCGCTTCCTGATCCATGAACAAGGACAATCCCACGTCGCGGGGTTCCTACGAGTACGAAGTGAATTACACAGCGCATGTACGCGCATTTGTGCAGGTGCCATCTCTGTGCTCCGTACACTCTGCCTCCCTCTTCTAGGAGTTAGGTGATACAGCTGAGGTCCAGGAACATTTTCACCACCAATCTGTACAAGTCCATTGCATCCATCTGCCCTGGATTGCAAACGACAGTTACTGGACACAGAAGGCGGGAAGAGCCTCTGAGCAGAGCAAGCAGCACCGGGAAGGGGCCCAGGTGGAGGGACGCAGGCACCGGGGCGGGGCGGGGCACAGGGCCTTGCGTCCCGCCAGGGCAGGCACCTGGCTTCGGCGACACTCTCAGCTTTAGGGACCGACACTAGGTTTAGCAGGTGAGGTCACGCCAGCCAGTGTTAGGTGGTCTTCAGGCGAAGCCCAGAAGCCCCCTGATGAAGGGCTGAAGGACGGGGTGGGAACACTGATTTAGTAACTTTTGTGACGTGAGAGGTTGTGCAGAAAACGTCTGGAAGGCTGGCCCTTCTGTCATGCGCACGTTCCGAACCTCCTCGTAAAATCATTAGAAATAACCCCGTGAATGCGGGCAGTCACAGAATAAAGTCTCAGCGCATCTGCTGCAGTGACCAGGATCTCCCACCAAACAGCACCCTTCAAATCACTAGAGATTCCTTCTGAAAAGCAAGACCTGGGGCGTGTTCACTTACAAATGCAGGTAACCGTATAACCATGGGGTCTGGGCACGAATCCTGTGCCGTCTGCACACATCTGCCCATCCCGGTCTTGGTGCCCCGGGAACCTCATTTTGGACACCCCCGGACTATCCTTCAACACTGAGCTCAGGGCCCCCGAAGTGTGAGCTCTGATGCTGGACGAGGGCGTGTGGAAAATTAGGAAACACGTGGTCTCCAGATGACAGCATGAAAGAGGCAGGGAGCACAGCAGGTGGACACGGTCTGGACAGTCTCCACACCTGCCCCCAGGCCCTCCGAGGGCACAGGCTCTAATCGCGGGGCCAGCCTTTCCAAACACTAGCCTTCCTGGCCTCCCTTCTCCTCATCAAAACCCAGCTCGATAAAGACAAGGCCAAGGGTCCCCGACTACAGTACCACTTGATTCTGTCCTTCCCATCGTGTATTTTTGACAACTGCCCTTAAACGGAAAGGGAAATAAATGGGTGGCAACTACCTGAGCACAAAGTTTTGGGGAATTCCATGAATCTGGAATAAAGACCAGTATTTCTTTTAGATGGTAGAAGAAAAACAGAGTAAGAGCTGTCACTTAAGGGAAAACAACTCACATCATCACTTCAGACTGAGCAATTTCAAGGTAGAGAAGGAACACACTCATGGGAAGACCCTTGGGGGAAACGCAGTGTCTGCCAGGAATTCCACGAGAACCTGGGGAAACAACACAGGCTAAAATGCTCTCTACTCCGAGCGCCGCAGGCCGGGCATGGCAAAGAAAGTCCTCACAGGGATGGTTCCAGGCGTGTAGAGGTGTCAGGGCTCGAGCACACACGCGGGACCACGGGAGCATGGAAAAGGGGCGCGTGGCCCACCCAGGGATCCAAGGAGGGCGGTCTGGAGGAACACGAAGGTAGGCGCCAGCTTTAAGGTAGATAACAGTTTGCAAATGAGATCACCGAGGTTCAGAGACAGTAAGCTGCCCAAGGTCACACAGCTGGCGAGCGGTGCGGCCAAGACCCGACCCAGGAGCACAGCGTCTGCTCAGAGGCCTGGTGTGCTGCCGCCAAGGCGCATTTCCTTGGAGTCCTGCTCTGCCTTCCCCCGCAGGGGCGTCTTCACCACGATCTCCTCCCCACCGTGACCTTCATGACGAAGGACAGAGACTCCATGGAAATGTCCTGGAGCAGAGCGTCTGGCGTCTGGAATGACATCCTGCCCTCCTCCCAGCGTCAATTCTCTGGAGTTTCCACAGGCTGCATAGAGCAGGGGATCACCCAACCCCAAGCCCAGAGGCTGGGGCTCTGGGGAGGGGAGATGTTAATTTAATACTGGGCTTGGCCACAAGCAACAAAAACGAAGCCAGAAACACTCAGATCATTCACACATCGGTCCCCACAGAGAGGAGGCTGTGGGCCGTGAAGCCCAAGACATTCCCACTGGAGATGCTGTAAAAGGCGGGAGGGCTGGAGTCACTCACTGGTCAGGCCCCAGGCCCCTCTGGTCTCCACCCACTTTCAGCGACCAGGGAAAGCAGGATGTTCCCTCAGGGCCGGGTCCCCATGGAGGCCGTTTTCCCAAAGGGAAGGTGGCACTCAGAGGATGCTCGGCAAGTACCCCAGATTCACCAACTGCCAAAGCGTGCTTAGCATTCCTGGGCCATAAGCTTAAAATGTCATGGGAAATTCAGACAAACAAACACCAACAGAATCAGCGTCCTTGACTCCCTGTCCTGAGCAGAGGGCCATTGGCCAGACTAACCGGATGGTGATGGTAAATTAAGACACTGAAGGAAGTAATGGTGGAGGTGGCCTTGGCAGTGGTTCTGACACCGTGACAGAGGACCCCCACCTGCTGCCCCCGGGTCCCTGCTGTCTCGTCAGCTTCGGAGGAGCCCAGGAGAGCAGAGGTTGCAGAAGGACAGTTTGGAAAGTCAGAGTGAACCAGCAGGGTCAGGCCAAGAGCCCCGGCCTCTCCACGTCACATGCTTTTGATGCGGCAACACACAGGGGCTTCCCAGCTGAAAGTGGGATGAGGGATTTGGGATCATTCCTAGGCTGACTGTTCCCTAAGTCCAGGCAAGCAGATCTCAGGTCACTGGAGGCCAATTCCAGCTCCACAGACCGAAGGGAAACAGCTCCAGGATCTGGGTGGCACCCTAAATAAGAGAAAGGCTCTGAGCCTGAGTGACGGGCCCTGCTCTGGGCCAGTCACTGCCTGTGTGAGCTCCATACATCATCCTCAAGCAAATATTTCCCTCACAGGAGAACCTGCTCTCAGCTGACGGACAAGCGCTGCCAAAGCCCTTGGCAACACGCGTGAAATCACCCTGGGGGAGAGGTCACCCTCCTCATGAGGAGCCTCCGTCCTCACGGGGCTGCGAGGGGGTCCCTGCTGCAGTTCTGCGGCAACACATGGCCACCCCGGGACAGGACCGCTGTCCGGACCAGAAACAGCTGCCTCTGTGGGGCGTTGCCTGCGAGAGGGGCCCTGTGACGTGAGTGGCCCGGCGGCCCCACGGGGAAGAAGCAGCCAACTCTCCCCACCTCACTGCCACTCAAGCTGCCGGCTGAGCTGCCGCTCAGCTGTCCGAGAAGCAGGCGGCCGCTCTGCCCGGGACCCTGTCCCCGCTCCCGTCCGGCGGGACAGTGGGGTCTGGTGTCTGCGGGAGGAGGAGGCCCACCTTGGGGGAAAGGCTCACTGGGGCTGCTTCCACGGCCTTCTCAGAAGGGCCGTGGGACAGCTGGTTTGGGCCTCGGCAGACTCTGCTGGGCCGGCCGCACGCCTGAGGCCTCGCACGGCGATTTCTCCCTCTGGAGGACACCGCACACTTCGCCGGCGCTTTGGTTCTGGAGGCCAAATGAAGGAGTTTCCAAGCACTGCCTCGGTGAGGTGACTCCGGCCCCTGCACGTGGACCCTCTGACAGACTCTTCTGTGGTTTCCTGCTGTCAGGGGGTGGGGTTCACTGCATGTCCCGAGGTCACAGGATAGGAGGGTGTCAGATGCTCCTTTGCTCGGGAAGCAGGTGATGAAGGAACAGGGACGACCGGCTGAGTCAGGACTGTGACGTGGGCTGCACGCCCCGCTGCTGGGCGCTGCCGGCGCTATTGCCACCCAGGGTTCTGATGTCCACAGGCCCTAGGAGACCGGTCCCGGACGGCACCCGGGGCCGTGTGGCTGTGCAGCGAGGGACGGGATCGCTAACTGCCCCTCCACACCCAGCGTCTCCTCGTCATCCGGGGGACCGCGTGCTCACGTGCGGCACAGAGAAAAGCAGGTCACGCGGACGCAAGGGGGAGATACTGAATTACCAAGAGTCGGGCAGTGACCGAGAGGCCAAGGACGGGAAGCGCAACAGGGACAAGTCAGAACTGTCCCAGGAAACCCACCAGGTGGGAGGTGGGAGCCTGCAGCCCGCAGAGTCCCCTCGGGAAGCTGAGGGGCTCGTCCATCGCCACAGCCCTTGGCTCTCCATCTGCAGGATCCCGGGGGACTTTTGCTGTTACGTTAGTTTTCTAACAAGATGTGACTTTTGCTGCTATTAGTACAGCTCCCAAAGGTGTCTTTTTGGCAGGTGGAAATCCTGGCACACGTCACTCTAACTGGCCAAGGCAAAGAGGTCTCTTTTAAGGCACGTACCCAAGTCTCCATTAAAAAAAACACCTTACCAGGGCTTCGTGTAGCTCTCTTGATAACATATCTTTCATGTGTCGAAATATCT